TACAACAGTTTCCGATTATATACGAATAAAAAAATATTGTCGACATTGGGGCCATCAACTGGTTGCACGCCCAAATTATAAGAAAAATTGTTAAAACCAGGAATTTCGGCTTCATAACGTTAGCATCAATTTTTGGTAGAGGAAGTGGTCATATCAAACAATCACATTAAAAAACTATCTTGCCAAGAGGTATTCTTCAATACTTTCTTTGCCAAGAGGTATTCTTCAGTACTTTCTTCTGTAAATTTTGTGGTTTGCTAGAATTTAGGAAATAATATTTTAAAAATTGTCGTTAGCACATTTTTCGATTTGTAGGGCTTCATGCACACAATGTTTTCCTTCATTAATAATTTATTTGATAATAGAGGTAGTTTTTCCAATAAAAAATACTCCTTAACTTGTACGCAGAGAATATTTTTCTCACGTACAAATATTGTGAATAGTTGACCACAAAACATTCAGTAAAATCCAGGAAGAGAACAGAATGTTTCGCAAAATGTATGCATCACACTTTTAAACTTCAGAAGAAATCGAATAAAAAGTAGTGTTTTATATTCAAAATTTATTTACTTGATGGTACATTCTTATGTTTAATGCTTATTTTCCGAAAATAATTAAATATTTAAACAAACGCCTGAAATGTTTAGAACTACTAATAAAGACTAAAACAAACCAGTAAAGAAAGTCCTAAAGTCGGGCGCGCCGACTTTATGATGCCCTACACTACTTTGCTAATTTAGTAGAGCTCCACATAACAATTAAAAGTTTTTATGGGAGAATTCAATCATGTACGCCATGATTATAATTATAATTTAAAGTTCAAAGGACTAAATATGCCGAAGCATTTGTATCTTTTTAATTCGGACTTGTATTGCCCATTTGGGGCAAAATTAATTTGAAATCATATAAAGATATATATGGAAGCCATATCCAAATATAAACCGATCTCAATAAAATTGGCAGAGATATTTCTGAGCTGTATTTGATATATTTCCCTGAATATCGTTGTTACGGAGTGCATATTATGGCTGTGGGTAACAAATACAACAAATCGGATGAACAATATATATGGGAGCTAAGCTATATCTGAACCGATCTTCACCAAATTTGGCATACTAGCTTCTAGACTCAATTCGGTCGTATGTGCCAAATTCCATCGTATTTGGGGAAATATTAGACATTTGGTGCGCAATAAAAGGTAAATCGGACGAAGTTATATATGGGAGCTATATCCAAATCTTAACCGATCTCGATAAAAATCTTGAACCGTCAATTACAATATTCTTAAATTATATGCATTCATAACTCTATTGTCTGAAATGTCTATAATATTCGCCGGCGCGATCATATTTCCCCATTTGTTAAACTATTTCTGGGATTGTCATTCGAACGATATGTTGAAAATGTCTTCAATTTTACGACCAAATTATAAGAAAAATTTTTAAAGTACCAATTCTGGTCGTGAATAGGATCATGGTCAGGTTCCCGACGATAGCCTGGTCGTGAATAGGATCATGGTCAGGTTCCAGACGATAGCCTGGTCGTGAATAGGATCATGGTCAGGTTCCAGACGATAGCCTATAATGTAACACTGTTTAAAAGATCACTCATCTTATCAGCATCCCTGGCGCTTGCCACGGCATTATCGTTTTGAACCCTAGCCCTTGTTAAGTTATGTTGAAAGACGGGGAGGAAACGATTGTCACATGTCCTGGAGGACATACACTGACAGGAAATATATGCCACAAAAAGCGCTTGCAACGGCATTATCATTCTGAACCCTATCCCTTGTTCGTTTACGTTGAAAAGAGGTTAAATTCCTTAAAAGATTGTTTATGGTAGTACCCCACAGGAGATGTGATAGAATCTCTCCCTGTGGTGTTCCTTGACCAACCTTGTCCCTTATGTTAAATTCATATTGCCCACAACTTATCCATAAACTTATCCATCGTGCGTGATGCTGATATTTGGGATTTAGAATCGCAATCTTCCGGTATTCCTACGTATACCAATGACTACGTTGTAGTTCCTTATCGGGATGGAAAGCTGAACCGTATGCGTTGTACACAAAGTCTGGTAGTACAAACATTTTTGGCAAACAACTCGTTACGCTGAGATGTCCCGTGCGTAAAGTATATTCTGGAACAGGCAATCTCTTCATAAGGTCCTTAAAACGCGTCGGTAGTGTTTCGCATTGCCTGATCGACCAGTAACCGGTTTTTCCTACACTGAACGACAGATGAAGCATGAAGTTCGTCTTTCATTCCCTGCCATGGTGTTAATTTATCCAATTGTAATTAGTGATTTTATGTGTTAGTCAATAGGCACGAGAATCAAATACCAGTGGCGAGCACTACTAACCACAACAAATACCACGATTCCGTGCGTTCAGGTGGCAAACCAGACGTACAATGTGCGCATTCAATCGGCCAAGTCTTCAGCAGCAGTACGATATGTTGACAGTTGCAGGAATAATTAGTGGCTCTGGGGTTCTAGTCGAACCCCATATGGCCTCCCATTAAAGCATCGTATCGGAACTATGCCATAGGTGGCTAGGGAGGTTAATCTATTGGCGTGAGAATCAAAGGCTAGAGACGAAACACTAACTACTCTAAGAAAGTTCGACATTTCATATTTGGCACAGTATTGTGTCTAGGAATGAAAATGAGTTATATCGGTTTATAGCCCGCATATAGCGATACCTCCCGATATTCGTTATTTTTATGACTTTTGCCACATTTTCCGCGGATTTTTTCAAAAATTGGTATTTGTTATTACCAACACATTAATCGTAGATTTTAAAATAAAAAGCAAGAATTTTTTTAAGGAATATATAGTTTTTACCAAACTTTCGACAAGGGCCAACAGACCTATAATCTTAGACTCTATCTAAATTTCTTTGTGGACCAACGAGTCAATAGTCGCAGACCAATAATAGTGGACTATTAAAAAAATCTTCCTTACTAAATACGCCAATTATCCCAGCAGATTAATAACTTTTTTCATTGTTCACTCGCCAATAGACATGCATTTCAGGACAATTAAGACGATGGTGGTTAGTTTTTTTTAATAAGATGTCTTCGAAAAGTTCAAAAAAATCGTAGAATAATCGTACATTTCTAAGAAGTTGTGAATTTTGAAAGATTTCTTTTTCAAACATTTCTTTTTTCTCTCTTTGACGTCATGTTTTCCAATTAAGTTGTAGGGCATTGCTGATTTCCAGGAATACAACACTTATTGTAAATTAATTTGGTTTTGGCACACAACAACTAGAAAATATATTTGCACGGAGTTTCTATCTATGATCTTCACTCACACACAACTCTAGTTCCTTCGATTAATTTATTAAAAATAAAATTTTGTTTGTTTTGGGAAGTTTTCTCTTTAATTCTTCTTTGAGATATTCAAAATGGCGCGCATATATTTTGCTTTTGGTAAACAACACTGGCGCCATTCATTCGCATGATGTTGTAGGGCGTTGCCTATTTCCAGGAATGTAACACTTATTGGCACTAAAAACAACACTTTTCTTAAATAATTTTCACATATTGTATACTCGTTGTGATTACGTATGTATTTCGAGGTTATTTCTTGTGCGCTTTGTAATATTTTTCACTTTATTTACATATAATTTCTTGGGCGTCTAGCTTTTCCAGGAACTAAGCACAACATTGGGTGGTAAAACAATGGAAAACACTTTTCTTCGAATATAAACAGTTGCACTTCACTTGTTGCTCGCTTCTTATTTGATGGATTACAAATTTCGCGCGTTTATTGGATGATTTTTACATTATTTTTGCCAAAAAAAGGCCAACAATAGTCGTTTTACCTTGAAGATTTCTAAAAGAGTCCACTATTATTGTTCTAATGTCTGAATGTGTTTAAGAAAGTTTGTCAAAAACATCCATATCCCCGGTTATTATACTGGTTTGATCCGATTATCCCTTTTTTTAAATTCATTATTATTGGTCCCTTTGAAAACATTTTCTCAAAAATATCCACGATTATGCTATGATTGCTTTGATCCAATTTCCCGATTTTTTAAATTCATTATTATTGGTCCCTTTGTTTTTTTTTTTTTTTTTTTTTTGAAGCAATTTTCCTGAAGAACTTTGTAGTAGATCCATAAAGAAATGGTCTTCAACAATCCACGAGTATCTTAAAACTTAGTTCCTTCAATTCATTTTTAAATTTCAAAAAAAATAAGTAATTCATAATTATTGGTCTTTATGTTTATGAAGACATATTTTCAAAAATATCCACGATTATCCTTCAATTGGTCTACTTAAGGTATATTAAGGTTATTATAATTATTGGTCTTTAGGCCTTTAAGAACATTTTCTTAAAACAATTAAAAAAACATTAAGTTCGGCCCGGCAAAGATAAAATTTTTATTTAAAACTGACTTCAAACGTATTCCACTTAAAACTACAAATACCAGTAAGACTGTTTGGATAATGCAGCTAAATTTTCAAAAAAAAAAAAAAACAATTTGCGTGAGGCCGTTATATGAGGACCATACTAAACGGGAACAATTTCGTGGGTAAATATGACTAGGATTATCAAAATACCGAATATCGGTGGGTATCGTTAAATATATGTGCGCTATAGGAAACGTGGAAGTAGATATTCAATGTTTAGATTAACATGCAATTAAATTTTCAAAAAAAAAAAAAAAAAAAACAATATGCGTGAGGCCGTTATATAAGGACCATACTAAAACGGGAACAATTTTATACTTCAAGGATTGTTATCTACCAAATATTCTTAAATACCAATTTTGAAACAATTTCGTGGGTAAATTGTTTTTTTTAATCAAGAATAATCCTAATAATTAGTTTTTCTTAAAAATATCATCGATTATTCTTCAAATTTTAAACATTTTTATGAATTTCTTGATTATTGACCTTTTCAAGAAAAAATATTTTTTCTTAAAAATAATGATATTTATATTTAAATTTTGCGTGAACGGCATAATAATTATATTCCATTATTTGCAGCATACATCTACATAATAAATGTTAAGTCTATTTGGCTTGATTTTAGCAGCTTGAAGAGAATTCTTATTTTCAGTGGAAGATGCTAATGTGATATTAGTCAATTTGTTTATAAAAAATATAAACATTAAGCATAATCAAAATGACGGTCGACTTTAATGACTACTTTTGGGTAAGATTTTAATATTCTGTGTTCAAAAAACTAAAATATATATATTTGGATATCATATGTTTTTAGGGGGAGAAAAATAATGGATTCGACGTTCTTTATCATAATATGAAATTTGGCTTACAAGCTAGCAAAGAACTTTCGGAGTTCTTTAGAGAGAAATCAAATATTGAAGAACAAAACTCAAAATTAATGTCAAAACTAGCTCACAAGGCTAGTACAGGAACACTAAACAGTACATTCGCACCAATATGGACAATATTACGAACATCGGCAGAAAAACTTTCTACCTTACACATGCAAATGGTGCAGAAACTAAGCGAACTTGTAAAAGATGTAGCAAAGTATGCCGATGAACTGCATAAGAAGCAAAAGGCTGTTAAAGAGGAAGAAGCTCAAACTTTGGAATGTGTGAAAGCCATACAATTTTCGACTTCAGAGGTGCAAAAAGCAAAAGATATTTATAGTGGCAAGGTACAGGAATTGGAAAAACTACGAAAGGACAATGCTTCGCAGAAAGATATTGACAAAATGGAAACGAAATTGCGAAAGTTGCAGGAGGAATACAAAGTGTTATTGGATAAACATAATCCTATTAAAATCGAATTCGAACGTCGAATGACGCAGACATGTAAAGTGAGTAATGGTTATACTTAAATGTATATGTATATATATATATAGTTATAATGCAATTATATAAAACATATTGTCAAAATCCAGCGTTTTCAAGAAATTGAAGAGGTCCACTTGCGACAGATGAAAGAGTTTCTATCCACATACTTGGAATTACTACAAAACAATCACGATATGGTCGGACAAGTAAGTTCTCATAAAGGCACGCAGGACATGTTAATTGTTTTTGTTTATTATTTTATGACTTAGGTGCATTCGGACTTTAAACGGCAGTTTTTAGACATGACCGTTGACAAATTGCTGGAACAATTTGTTTTAAATAAATACACAGGCTTGGAAAAACCTGGTTGGTAAAACAAATTAATAAATCAATCAATTCACATTTACATAATATTTTTTCATAGAAATGCCAGAACTTGAATTCATTCCATTATCAATCAATCAACAGACGCTAGCTTCTTCGAATGCCCGTCTTAATCAACCATCGATAACTTCGAATTCTAATTCTGTAACCAGTATCAACCGTGGAGGAAATACTGCATCGGATCAACGTGGGGCTGAGGGCTTGTCAATAGGTAGCATTGCTAGCGGTAGTAGTGGCTTAGCAAATGTCGATGAAGCAATGAACGAAACAAGAATTTCAAAGCCACTATCTCGACCAACATCGCCTGATGGTAATTCCACCAATGCTGCAGGCGGATTGAAAAGTAATTTCCGAAATTGGTTTTCTTCTAATAACACGAACAAACAACAGCAACAAAATGTTGGAATGCCTACTTCTGTCACTAGTGGTAGTGGAAATTTCGGTACGGATAGTAATTGCATCACAAGTTCGCTATCAGCCAATATAATCACAAATAATACTACTTGTACCACCACCACTACTGGCACAAATACCACAACCATCAACAAAAATCCTCTAAAATCAGAGCTTCAATCACAACAGGAAAAACATACTCAAGGTTCATTTTTTGATAAATGATTCTACTCTTTAATCCCACACATATTTTTACTTGAAACTAATTTTCTTTATTTCACCGCTCACCATTCACGACGTTGTGTAACTGATATCTAATACTGTCTTTTCCATATATACGTTCTCTTCGCGCCTCTCTTTCTCTATCTGTAATGTAGTTTATTTTTGCTCCAAACACCAACTTTATTCATTATAAAAAATATATTTTAGAATTACAATAGTTACATGCGCAATATTCAGAAATCTTGTTGCTTTGTTGATGCTTTGATGAATACAGCATTAAGTAGATTAATGCAAATATATATTGACTTAGTTTACCCTTAATTATAACTAAAATACAATCTCTTATGTATACATGCATAGTGGAACAACAAGATGCTTTAACGTCAAATCCTGCCGATGCCAAAAATGCAGAGAGTTTACTGACAAAAACACAGCAGTGTTCCCCATCACAGCAAAATATAACAAAAAAGACTTCTTCAACAACCGCAAACACATCCACATCGTCAACAGTGTTTGGTACAACAAATCAAAGACGAACAACGTCCCTATTGAATATATTCTCTTCGAATTCCCAGGGTATGCTTATTACACAATTTTATGCCACATGTCTGAGATCTATCCGAAGCAAATCTATATGCTTTCTCACACTTTTCGATTTGGTTATGTTTTATTATTAGTAGTATTTATATGAGGCGTACTTTTATAAAATTTTCCTGCATAAAGAGTTGGTGTTTGAGTTTAAGTGCACTTTATCTGTATTCACACATTTTTTAACCTATTGTTTCTATATACATGGCATACATTTTAGCAAATATGTGGTTATATATTGTGGTTTTCCGTTCTAACTGGATTTAGTTGGTTATGATTTATTATAAGTATTAATAGGTCGCGGTCTCTTTTTGCATTTAAAAAAAAAAAAATAGAAAATTTAGCAAGTCATTTTAACTGCTTGCACCAGATATTTGACAATTGCGTTGATGTTATATACACATTAATTAAAAGTGATCAACTTCAAAGAATGGATATTAAAATTATTTAATAAATATCGGACTAAGGTGGCGTAAAATTGGCGCTTGGTTCCTATTTGTAAAATATATGCTTGTACTCTTGCTATATTGTACGTTCTATGATCCTAGAATTCCCAGGGTATATTATTAATCGGATTTATGCCACATGTTTGAGATCTATCCAAAGCAATTCTATATGCACTCCCACATGTTTCGATTTGGTTATGTTTTATTATAAGTATTTATCTAAGGCGTATTTTTTATTAAATTTTCCTGCATATACATTTGATATGAGATATGTTCGCTCCCCAAAACATACACAGTATTAATGGGTGGAGATCTCTTTTTGCATTTTAAAAAATTAAAAAAATTGGCAAGTGATCTGTAATGACCGCTTCGTTTCTATTTGTAAAATGTATGCTTGTGTTATTATTATGTTGTACGTTATAGAATCAAACAAAAATCGATTATTGGGGTGATGTGATAACTAATATGTTAATATCCATTACTATATTATGAATAGTGTCGGAACTTTTACGAAGTCGCCGAGACAAAACAAAGGCTAAGAAGTCGAAGAAAAAGAAAGAAAATGACATTGCTGACAATATTCAAGAGGAGCGAACTCTTAGGTAAGCAATAACACATTCAAGCAAGAGTTTTTTTTTTTGTCAAATATGTTTCCTTTTTACATTAGTCTGGAACAAAGCAATAATTTTGCTGAATATGATGATACCAAAATAAAAAATGTAAACTCTAGTGGAAGTAGTACTGGTGGCTTAGCTATTTCTTCTACTTCGGCATGTGGAAGCTTGGAATCTGCGGGAACCAGTATTCCAGTTTCGGTGCCAAACACTGGTACAAATATAGGACTACATAATGTGGGCGAAATTGGAGATATCAGCCATATAAAGAATAACAACAACATTACACCTTCATTGGGCCAGGCAACCGATGGTAACGACGTCGATGAAGATGGTTATAGCATCCAACCTCCAAAAGAAGTGGCGTGGGAGGAACATACTGAAAATGGTAAACCAATCAGGACGTTGGATAAAAATATTTACACACACTAACGATTTCAAATTGTCCAAATTATTAGCGGGTAGTTTCTATTCAGATTCAGACTCCGATTCGGAAAATGATAGGCCCGAAAAACGTATACATGTTAAGATTAAACCCCTTAACAACGGCCAGGCACCCATGTCGGCAAGTGTCGATGAACTGAGAGCTACTGTGGAGAATATTTCGCTATCTCCCACTGGCGTATTTACTGTAAGTTTTTACTAGATTGAATTTTTACTTTGTTTATTAAATTTTTGTTTCTAACATATTAAGCAGCACAGTCAGCAGTTACAACAGCAATCAAGGCTGCCATCACGACAACAATCTCCAGAGATTTCCAATGCCTCAACACCAACAGCTGCGGTACATCCATATGCACCCCTACAAAGTCCAACATTATCAATGACTACAAATTCAAGGTAAAATAGTTATTGAACGTAATTGCGGTTGGCGGTTGATATCGATATAGCGCGAAAAACAAATTTAATAAAATTTAAATAAATTACATTTACGAAATGTGTTGCGTGACAACAACGTCAACCGCAATAAGGGTTAATGCTCTATTCATTTTTAACGAGACTTGTAACAAATTTAATTACAGGTATGCGGATTTGGGTGACATCTTTTCGGAATTGGGAGACGTAAGTAGTTCGGCACCAGCTTCAGCGAATCTTGCCAAGAGCCATGGTCGGCAAATTCCTACTCCAACCTCGGCTGTTAATAGCAGTATTGCAATACCTCGTCCACCATCCCGGCGATCGGAGATAGCTGTTGGTGCAAGAGGCCGCATTAGCCCAGCTCCCATAAATTCCATGAATCGAGCCGACAGCATAGGGTCGATAGAGTTTCGCACCGCTATTGGAGGAATTGGATCTTCGAGAGGTCCTTCTCCATTAACTATAGGCATTTCGGATACAGTCCCATTGGCTGTTGCTTTTCATGAAATAATTCATGCATATTTCAGGTAGTACATGTTTTTTATAAGAAACCCCCATAAAAATAGTATTTTCTATTCAATTTAGAGGAAGTGATGAATCTCGGTGTCAAGTAAAAATATCTGGCGACATGATGTTGTCATTTCCAGCAGGAATTGCTGGTCTATTGGCGAACAATCCTAATCCAGCCAAATTAGGATTTCGTATAAAAAATGTCCAAAATTTAGAAAACTTCATACCAAACAGTAAATTAGTTCAAGTGTAAGTAACATTTATTTTGAGCATGTCCTCTGTAAATAACTCTTTCAATTTTTGGTTAGTGACAAGATTCAGTCAAATTCATTTGGTACAATGCTCGAGTTTAATATGCCAGCATTGACGTCGTTGTTGAGACGCCAAGCTGAACACAACCCAACAGCTTCGTATTTTAACGTAGATATACTTAAATATCAGGCACGAACCAAACCAGGTGCTGGTTCATGTCCCTTTCAAATTGTGTCTTACTGGAAATGCGAGCCATCATTCACTGCCTTGAAAATTGATTATAAATATAATAATCATGCCATGGCAGCTGCATGTCCCTTACTGAATGTTACACTTTCCGTTCCTGTTAACGGAACGGTGCGAAATGTGCAATCCAAACCACATTCGGCTTGGTAAGTGAAACCATATTTCAAATGCTACAATTTATATTCGTTCTTCTTGACCTGTATTTGAATGGATAAAAACTAATTTTATTAATTAGGTTAGGTGAGTCGAACAGGTTGGTATGGAACTTTACAGATATATCCCAAAATTCGCAGGACGGGGGAGTTGGAACACTAAGGGCTCGTTTGGAATTAAACGACGGACCATCTACTCCTGCTTTACTAAGTACACAATTCAACTGCGAGGGTACAACACTCTCAGGTATTGAGTTCGAGCTTCAAGGCCAAGGATATAGAGTATCTTTGGTAAAGAAAAGATTTGTTTCCGGTAATACATGTTTTAATATTTTTAAAATGCAAATTCAAAGATTTTAATTTTCAATTGCAGGAAAATATGTTTGTGAAGGAGATGGTATTCGCAGTGCGGCAACGCCAACCCCTCCATCTGTCGGTTCTTGTAGTCCATTTTCCGCAAAATCCAATTAATATGATCAGTTGTTCTCAAGTACATTACTGATGCCTCATATTATTTAAATGTTTTATTACAATATATGTATATGCCGGATATATGGAAATCTAACAGTTATTTGAATTATAGAAAATATTAATGTAAGCCTGCAAGAAAATCTGTTGTCAGATATCAACAGCAATTTTGTATATGGTCCACATTTATTACCTTTAAAATTTCTATATGCTTTTGAAAAAAAAAAAAAACACTTCAAAATGTTTGTATTATTGTTAAACCTATTGCTATAACTAATTATTATTCTCATTATTTTGTAGATTTTTAAGTGTTGATTATAGGATACAAATGTTTTTTTTTCATTTGAAAAGCCACAAATACATACCATAACCATATTTTCAGAGCAATTGCTTATGTTGGAAAAATTCAAATTAGAATTTTTTGCACTACAAAAAATTTAACATTGAAGTTTTAAGTTTATCGCATATTTAAGTCTATGTTTATTTTGTGTATAAATACGATGTTCTTACCGGAACAATAAATTGATAATTAATAAATATTTTATGATATTAAAAATTGCTATAGCTATTTGGAAGAAACCGTAGTCATTCCAGGTACACGATAAAGAAATTCGCCATCGTCATCGTAATATGTATCATCAACGCGATAAGTAGCCCCTTTACGGCGAATTTTTCGAGGTATATGAATACGAGATTTAACTCTCGACATCTCAAATTTTTTCTTGTCGTCGTCGCATATTTCTACTTCGGTGTTAGTAAATTTATGGATCGAGATCAGATTGTCACAATTTGTCGTTTCGTTGGTTGTCACAGAAATATTTTCCGATTTTGCGTCCTCATAACCTGCGTTTTCCGTATTCAGAGATGCATCAATCCCATTCAACAATTTTATATCGGATACTCTCATATAATTTTTGTTAGAAACTTTATCAATTAAGAACGTCTCATTCTCAACTCCATGAACTTTTTGCTCTGCCATCTTAGCTGGTGGGGGTCTCAAGCTTTTTCTTTTTCCTGAAACAATTGAGGAAAACTCAGTCGATAAAGGCACACAGCTTTCAATTGTTCTGATTGCTACGCAGTTTTCCTCAGTTGAATGTGTGAATGCTTTAGTTTCTCTATAATAAAACTTTGTCATTTTGTTTTCTAAATCTTCTGGCAGTTTTAGTTCGCCTTTTTTGAATTTCTCCCAATTACGGAATACTGCAGCATCGTGTGTTGTTATCGATCTTGGCCTCCAATTCGCTTTTAATATTTTTTTTATTGTCTCACAATTTGCTGGAAAGCTTTCAGATAGTACTTCTACTGACCACTGTTCTGGGTCCTTGCTATGTAAAAGGCGTATGTTTTCTTTCTCCGCGTGAGTCAATATGTTCGGATATTTATGATCACGAAAATATTTTGATTTAACGATGTATTTCCTTAGTCTGCTTTTCTCTTGTTTTACTTCCAGCTCATGTTTTTCATGCATTCTATGTACATTAATCAAATCAGATTCCAAATCTCCAAACCCTTCAGGATTCTTTTCGATATCACTGGCTACGTCCGCTATAGCAGATATTTGGTGATTCAACCCCGGATTAGCTTTTCGAGATAGACCACGACAAAAGTGGTATACAATTCCTTTGTAAGGCAATCGATGAAGAAGCATTTTTTATTTTTAAAGTTTTCCAGAACGTTTTCCTGTAAATATGAGTTGTTAAAAATTAATATGCCAAGAATCGCCGTCGGACGAGCCGACAAAAAATTATTTAAACCAGAGATGTCTTGTTGACCGATACTGTAAAAAACAATTATTTTGAAACAAATAGAGCCTGCGCTATCCGGCATTAGCTTTTTCATTTTAATGTTGAGAAAATGTCAGAATGATTTTAAAGTCTATTTAGAAAAAAAAATTATTAAAATTGCATTTAACAAATAACAATCCGATTTAAAAGTGTAATGCCAGTTATGTTCAATGTGAGTACGCAAATTCCTCCAGTAAATACGATAAAGTCGGCATTAGTGTTTACGTCTTTAATTAAACTACAGGACACGTAATTTATGAATATGGTAAGCGGGACTATTTAAGTGAAATTTAAACCAGAGATGTCTTGTTGACCGATACTGTAAAAAAACAATTATTTTGAAACAAATAGAGCCTGCGCTATCCGGCATTAACCTTTTCATTTTAATGTTGAGAAAATGTCAGAATTATTTTAAAGTCTATTTAGAAAAAAAAATTATGAAAATTGCATTTAACAAATAACAATCCGATTAAAAAGTGCAATGCCAGTTATGTTCAATGTGAGTACGCAAATTCCTCCAGTAAATACGATAAAGTCGGCATTAGTGTTTACGTCTTTAATTAAACTAGAGGACACGTAATTTATGAATATGGTTAGCGGGACTATTTAAGTGAAACTTATGGCTTCGAGAAAACGTTTGACACCAAATTTCTGGATGAAATGCACGAATATGTCAAAGGGAACAAAATTGTTATTTCAAAAAAAAAAAAAAAAAAAGAAAACAATAACATAAGAAACAACTCTAATTAGTAAGAACTCTTCGATTTTTTCAAAAAAAATTCCAGAGGGAGGTATTTTTACCCTCTTTCCCCGAAACTTCCGGGCCGGGTCTTGAGGTTTTCTCATCTGTGTATGTCCCGCACCAGCTAACGCGAACCAAAGTTTTCTAAATTTGATACTTGCTGGACAGGTATTTTCATAAGCTTTCCAATATTGTCTAAAACGGGTAATTGGATCCTGGTCTAGTCGGGGTCTTGAACCCGGAATTTCGGGTTAAAAATCTTGGGTTCCGGGTCCGTCCCATAAGAAATTTTCCCGGGATGAAGTAAAAATACCTACCACAGGAAAAATTTCGAAAAACTGGGGAGTTTTTACTAATCTAGAGTTAAGCCGAATTTATATCTGCGCTAGCTACAATGAGAGGATAACTCCTTGCAAGTACATAAAGATCCGGAGTTGACAAAAAATATCTGCGGAATTAAAATCGATAACATGAGTTGAGGCACAGATGGTGTAAATATGAACAGGTGTTGGCCTCTTTTACATATCACAAATATGAAGAGGTTCAATAAAGTCAAATCTATGTTACGGGATCGAAGCAAGGAAAACTTGACCAAAGACGACCACCTCCACAATACAATTTAAACTTGATTATACAACATCTGTTTTAAATAAAAAATATTAAAAATGTTTGTATTACGTTTCTAAGAATGTTATTTTCTCTCCTTTTAAAAAGAGAATGTCATTAAAGAAGAATTAGGTCATTCACTGAAAAATGGTTGCAGAATGAGATAATCAAGGTATATAACAAAAATAATGCAGGTAGCCGCGGTTGGTGGTACATTGAACTAACAAACATTTGGAATTCAAATGATTAAATCAGAAATAATTCAAAGACCACATTGTACAAGAAAATGCCTAAAAATCAACTTACTTGTGCAGATTTTTTTAAAAATATTTTTGACATATCAATATCAAGAGTTTTAAATTTAATTCAACACTTTAGTCCATTGCGCATACGTCGAATGAACTCTACAGTATTTAATATGTGCAAACACTATAGTCCATTGCGCATACGTCGAATGAACTATACAGTATTTAATAAGTGCAAACATGTTTGTATAAAAAATTATCTAAAAATGAAAGGAGAGTTACAATATAAAAAAGAGTCGCCTTACCGATTTTTCAACTGAGATTTCTGTTTAATTCTGTCATGACGATTGCTCTGTACCGATTTTTCCACTGAGATCACTCTTTTATTCTGTCATGATAATTGCTCTGTTCCAAAACCCGTATGAAATGTTAATAAAATAGCCGCACGGTAAAATTAAGAAGGTAAAGTCATATTTACATTGCCAAATGTAACTGTATAGAAAATAGGTTCCCATCTGGATTTACGTAAGTACAAACGAATTATAAATAAATATTTTGAAAATGAATATTTTGAGAAGAATCAAATAGTTATGAAAATTTTCGACATCATAAAGGAAAAACCGGTTATCGTAGTAAAAACATGTACATTCCCGCTTTCTGGAACCAATTTGTTTTAAAAGTGTCTAATTTGTTTTTTTAACAATCTGTCGAAGTGACGTCTACCCCTGTAGATGTACCTTGTATTTTTGTTAAGTTTAATCGATTTGTCGACTTATGTATCCCTAGTTTTGAGTTATTTTTGACGTTTAGTAGTTCGTGTTCGTGTGGAATTGTTTCATTCGCAGTCTTCGTTTTTACTAAAAATCTAAAGAATTATGTGTACAAATAATTTTTATAATTTTTGGTTGTAACTTTTAATTACTATGGATTGATTACGGTATCGTGGTCCATGTGGACATGTGTGTTGTGTTGTGTGCTCCAACTAAATTAATCTAGAAACCCAAGTACTGAATAACAATTTTCGGCCAATATAAGCAAATATCGACGTATTTGCAGTTAATTCATTTCCGTCTTGGAAGACCAATAACATAAATTGCTCGTATGTTTATATATTCTAATATATGCGGTAAGAATGACATGTTTAATGTGTAGTTTAAAATTTTGCATTTCCACTACTCTGCAAACACCTGACCGTGGATGAAGATCTATTCACAAAGGATTTGTCCTGCAGATAATCGCACTGCTCTGTTATCCGTGAAAATATATGTACCTCTTATTTGTTGCAATGCCTGTGTTTATATATTTGACGGCGCCTGTCCCTTTCTTTCGTTTTTGTACACAAAACAATTCGACAGATTGGAATGAAGGGGGGAGTGCGGCATAGTCGCAATTTGTTTCTCATTGGCAAGATTATCGATGTTTTCGCTATTATTTACCTTTGCAAGCCCCTATAATGCGCGACGCAGCACCTCTTCAAAGTATCATACTAGATTTTTTATCGAGGCTCGTGTGAAATAAGGTCAAGTTCTGTTGGAGACTACATAATTTGTTTGTTAGTAATTGTGAAGTTTCTTTAGTCTAACTTGTGTGCTGAATACAGAAATGTGATTTCTGATTCCACGATTTAAATATCCACTATTATATGGGGAGAATATAGTAAGACGTTTTGGCTTAAAATTGTGTAACAAACGAAATGATAAGGGTAGACCAACCTTTATTAAACTGATAGACTTTTATTCAGACTTGAAGTCGATTCAGTCCCGTCTGTACCTGCACACGTCGTTCATCGGAACCTTGGTATCACTCTAATAGTCGTAATTTTATTAAATTGTTGTCCCGATCCCTTAAAACTGTAATATAAACACATGATTTGATTTGCACCGAATTCTAAATATCATTTAACATTATTACATATATATTGCTTTTCACCTTTTTTTGTTTGTTCCAACCCCTTCATAAGATTTGTATAACTTGCAATAATTGTTTTCAGTAGTAACAATGTCTTGTTTATAGTGCACAGTAAAACACTATCTGATGCGAGAAAAAATATGCTCTTGTCTCTGAAATGTATATTATTTTAAACGTCTTTTTCGGCAATATAAACTGTTTTAGAGACTGCAGGAATCCATTATATGTCCTGGCAACTTGAAATTAATTTATTTATTCATAAAACTAATCGCACTCGGAATAAGTATTTGGATATCCTTTAACACTAATGGGAAACAGATCCAGCTGGAGAGACAAAACTTGTTTCCTCATTTACCTATAAAAATAAATTTAATATATCGACATATATTGTAACCCAGGAAGAGCTGATATGTATTTAGAGAGCATCGATAATGCATATTGGCATGCTTTTTCTTTTCATAGCTTCCTTACACTCAAAACCTTTAACCTGGTTAACCGTAATAATTAACCAATTACAAGAAAAAACGACATTATTTCTTTTGAAATTTGTGCATTTGATACATTTTCAAAACATTTTTGATCACTTTACTAGTTGACTTGAGGTAATTATGAAACTTTAAGATCGGTGGATTATCCATTTCATTCCATATAAATAAATAAATAGAAATAAATCAACTCCTTTGCTGTAAACAAATCTGTCTATTGCACATATCAAATTTTTATCGGGAGGATATTCAATATGATAAAATTTCAGAAGTGGTCAGGTAATTTTATTTTCTATTTTAGACTGATGTAGATTACAAAAATTATCTGGAAGAGACAATTAATGTTCGTAAAAGTGACACTCATCTACCAATCGCAAGAGGGCTCAAGAGTGAGACAGCTTTAGTTTTATTAAAAAAGAACAATTGCTTCTTTTACTTAACTTTTTGTTAAAAGAATGGCCACCTGTCCACTTCCATCACACACTGTGTCATTGTTTGCCCAATTTATCCACCGTCCATTATTTACCATGCACTGTAGCAAGGTGCATATACATACTTTGTATATGATATTGGGTCCGCGAATACCACTGCAAATTTAGGGAATGACTCATAATTTGTTGGGTTTCTGATAATGGGCAATATATTTTTCGTGAGCTGTAGCCTTTATAGGTATTTCCGTCCAAAAACTCACTCTCAATTCACATTTTCAATAGAGAGTACCATACTATGTGCAATATTTTGTGATTAACTGTAAACTACACCTAACATACAAACAATGACCCATGTAACAAATTTTTAGGCTATAGCTTTAGTAAACATTTTTCATCACTTAAAAGCAAACGAACCATATCTTGTGCGTTGTGGTATATTTTGTATCTTATTGTGCTAATTTAAAACGTAACTTTGGAGGTCACCATAAAGTAGATTTAAAATTCTAGCTTTAACCGATGACTTGCTATTTCACACATGCGTAGAATATATCTCATGCCCTTGATAAGTTGAATTCTTATAACATTCGTACTTTAGGTACTTATCAATGTATCATTTCTAAGAGACAACATGTTTTTAATGGAAGTAAATTTGATTCATATCTTTGTGAATGGTTCATTCTTAACACAACCAGAAGAAGTACTTTTCAAACTTGATTATGCTAACACCACTCTAAATGTTGTGTGGTTTGTAACCTTGAGTAAGACTAAAATAAATCTACTGGAGTGCGTTAAATTAGCTTTGAATTCACAAAGCGCTTTACGAAGGACCATTCTAAAACTATTGATTTAAACGTAGATCGTACCGAAGTATATTTCAACAAATAATTAAAAGGGCATCGGTATGTTTCGAGTGGGACTCTATGGAAGACAATAAACATACAAAAGTAGTGACCATGTGATTTAACGATTGGTATACAGAATTTGACGTGTTCCTTTGAATTGATGCAGGTGATACATTGAACTGATATTCTCCTTTGTAATGTCTTCCAATGAAGTTAGCAGAATTGTTTTAACTATGCTAACACCACACTAAATGTTGTGTGGTTTTTAACCTTGGGTAAGACTAAAAAAAATCTACTGGAGTGCGTTAAATTAGCTTTGAATTCACAAACCGCTTTACGAATGGCCATTCTAAAACGATTAATTTAAACGTAGATCGTACCGAAGTATATTTCAACAAATAATTAAAAGGGCATCGGTATGTGTCGAGTGGGACTCTATGGAAGACAATAAACATACAAAAGTAGTGACCATGTGATTTAACGATTGGTCTACAGAATTTGACGTGTTCCTTTGAATTGATGCAGGTGATACATTGAACTGATTTTCTCCTTTGTAACGTCTTCCAATGAAGTTAGCAGAATTGTTTTAACTATAATACTCTAAATGTTAAATACAAATGTTTATTTAGTGAACAATTGATTTTTAGACTAATACAAGACTTATTTTAGTCCAAAAATTTGAAAGCTTTATGTATTAATTATACCCTACAACACTATGTGTTGGGGGTATTATAAGTTTGATTGGGCCAAAAATTATATAACACCACGAAATATTGGTTTCCCACATAGGAAAGTATATATGGATCTTCCTATCTCGCCGAGCTGAGTCGATCTAGCTATGTATGTCCGTCCGTCCGTCCGTCCGTCTGTCCATGTTAATTTGTAATCACTCTACAGGTCGCAATTATGGCCCGATCTTCACGAAATTTAGAATGGAGGTGGGGTTAGGGTCAGAATAGAAGCCAATTTCTTTTGGAGATGATCGCCAAATGTTTAGGTGTTGAAATGGACCAAATACTGAAAAAATGTCGGATTTTCCAGTAGCTATACAGGTCGCAATTATAGACCAATCGACGCGGAATTTCGCATGTAGCTAGAGTTTAGGGCGGGGAAGAAGCCCACTAAATTGGGTGTTAATCGTATAATATTTAGCGGGTAAAATAGACCATATCTTTTTTGTTGAAAAAATTCAAAAATTGTCATTAAACCGCGAATATTTTAAATCCCGGTGTAATCACAAAGCCATGACAAGGTTACTTCTGATCTTTACATTGATGTTAAGATCCAACAAATCGGATATATAGCAAAATATGTGCGATGTATATGTCTATCAAAGAAGATATGCTTGAAAGATTTCATATATGTCGAGAACGGCTGAACTGATTTCGACAGTTCTCATTAATTCAGAATGGCCTCTTGGCAGGAAAGAAAAAACGTCTAAAAAATCGCATAAAAATATCTCTCTAAAGACGAAAATATTGATTTTGTAACTTTTTCTCATATTTTTTCAAATTTGTCATATTTTTGGCATATTTTCATTTTGAATTAAACATTTGGTAATATTTCTACAGCTAACAAAACTAAGTAGTTAGGATATCAGGATATCATATACAGATCGCATTTATGGCCCGATCCTTACGAAATTTTGCATGGGGATAAGAAGAGGGTCAGAATAGAAGCCTACTCGTTTTGGAGATGATCGCCATATATTTAGGGGTTGAAATGGACCAAAAACCTGCAAAATTGTCAGCAGGTCGTAATTATCGCCCGGTCCTCATGCACATTTGAATGGGGTTACCGGACATTGCAAAAGCCAAGCAGTTTTGGATGGCCATCCAAAAATATTCAATGTGTGAAGGAGTTTGCCAACTTTTGTAGACAAAATACCAAAATATCCATTCCTGTGACTTATTGGAGAATTCACAAATACAGGAAAGACGCACTTCTGACGATTTCTTTAACGCTGATTTCGTTGAAGAATATAGTCAAATGTCTGTATCTCATATAGATGCATTTCAGTCAAAAACCAATAATAAATGTTAATCTTTTGCCACTTCCACCAATAAATTGGAAATGAGCAAATTAGTTAAAGTTGCTATTATTCGAAAATTAGAGAACGAAACCTGATGGTTTTCTTTTATTATTTGTCACAATATCTTGTGGAATTCTTTCGAGTATCTCGCCTATATAAACTGTATCGTTTATTATAGTGTTGTAGGGTATTCAACGGTCGGCCCCGCTCGACTGTAGCCTTTGCATACTTGTTTTATTTTTATATCCTTTACTACGAAGGGTAGTTTATGATGATCATTCAGTTTGTAACTCTTGGAAATTATCATGTAATTCCCGCCTGCATCTTGTAATCACATATTTTTCAAATTATTTGAGATAGAAGGCGCTACATATTCAATGTGGGTCAGTGTTTTGGTATAGCTCAAAAATTTGGTGGTCTTTGTAAGTTGTGGTTTTAAATTGAACTCGATGGGATATTGAATACCGAAACTTACTTTTTGGCGACGGTATTAACATTTCGGCACCCGAAAAAAAATTTATTTACTTATAATCATATAGTAAATATTTGGATAATTACAATGAGTACAGAAGCATTAGCTACAAAGGCCATCAATTCATGCTTGTTTTTAATTAACCATTATTTATATATATTTATTTATGTAAGTAAAAAGGTTGCTTTGTTGTATGTACATAAATATAGAATTTACATTTTGGTCATTTATGGTTTAATCAATTCAACACCTCTGCTTTGCAAAAATGTGTGTTGTTGTTTGGATAGTTTGCTGCAAGATTGAAGCATGGGCTTCTCGTCTAACGGAACTCGGCATTTGGGACAGTTATTATCCATATTCTCATTAGTTATGTTTTGATGTGTTGGGATTGTTTGCTCCATGCGTTAATTTATTTTGTTATTGAAGCACGATCGAAAGCTTTGTTAGCAATAGGGAGGCAGATCTTTGGGCCACTGACACATGTGCTAATGAAAACAGGAATTTGTCGTTGTGCTAATTGGACTGGTTCAGTTTTACCGGCAATACAGTAACGCGAGCGCATTCACCTAATGTTTGACTAGACTGTATTTATGGGGAAATCACAATATGGTGTTGTGCAAGAACTAAGGCAGATAAATCCCTGCAATTTAACTGTTATTTTTAATATCAAGAATAAATTCGACCAAACATCGTAACTGTTGCATGTTCAGTACATGAGGTACTTAAAACCTGACCTCTCTCACCGCTTTCGTTTCCAAATCAATATTTTATACCATCTCCTATTGCTGCAACTTTCCTAAATGTTTAAAAATGATCGTGAGTCAAAATGTCAGAACTATATATATGCAAAATGTTTGCAAAGAATATTGCGAATATTGACTCATGAACAAAATGTCACAACTATATATGTGTGCATTTTGTCAGCAATTTGTATGTGATTGAAAAAGGAATATCTCGGTCCAAGTTAAACGTGTGTTTCAAATATGTTTCATACGTCTCACTTTTTATGAAAATTTCAGTTGAGAGGCATATAATTCATTGAAGATTTTATAATCACAGTTTATATACAAACAACATCACATTCCAATATTAATCTAGGAGGGTTATCATACCTGACTCGATGAAATTCATTGATGTATTCCCTGTTGCATTTTCAGAATACAATATTTAATAAAAACTATAAGGCTGTTTGGACTTCGTTTGGCTCTTCAAGTTAAAGGAAAGTGGGAAAGTCTTTTCTTTCCATAAACAATGAAAAACGACGTTGTACGATGGTCAACTCAAAAAAGGAGGAAGACATATAGCAAACTGTGTTGCAACCAAGAAAACAAGAAGTTCCCAGCATATTGTGCTGGCGAGATATCATACAATACAACATTTCTAGGCAGCTCATACGCGAGTGGTTCGCTAATTCAGTCCGTCAGATGTGATACTTTATACAATAATATAATTTTAGCTGAAGATGTAAATAAGTATGGATCTACAAACTACCCCGAACGACGAAATTGGCATAATTACTTAAACGAATATCGACATGAGAGCCGGAGGCACAGTTCCAACCGAAAATGCAGATCTAGCTATTGGTCCACGCTTATATTTGAGATAGGCATCGCCATTTTTTTGTGTTCCTTTCAGGTTAGTCTCGTTTCATGCAGCGAGTTTGAAAGCGGCTCTGTCATCGACGACAGGTCATTGCTGCATGAACTGGATTACGCCGATAAGGAGAGTAGTTTTGAAAATCATTACACGCACACTTGGGCCGTACACATACCAGATGGTGATATGGATAGCAAAGCTGATGCAGTGGCGCATGATAACGGATTTGTAAATATGGGCAAAGTAAGTAAAAACATATTAATTTAGTTTCGCTATTTGTGTACGAAAAAATAAAAAAATATTGGTTTACTTCGATTGAGTTGATAGAGATATAACTTTTAAATTTGGCACAAAACATTTGACAAAAGGTAAACTAAGAATAACGTTGCAATTTGAATGTGATTTCCAGATATTTCAAGATCATTATCTGTTCGCTCATCACAAGGTAGCAAAGCGATCAGTGGAACCTTCTACAAATCACCAATCAAGACTTGATGAAGATGGACGTGTCACTTGGTCTAAACAACAAATTGCCAAATCCCGTCGGAAAAGGGACTTCATACGAATGAGGCCTTCACGAACTTCGTCGAGGTCCGCCTCTTCAAGGGTAAAGGCCATGCCTTTTACAGACCCTAAATGGGAGCACATGTGGTATTTGGTAAGTAAATCAGAATGATTCGTGAAAACAGTGATTGTACGTTTCTTCTAGAATCGAGGCGGCGATTTGGACATGAATGTAATACCGGCGTGGAAAGAAGGTATTACGGGCAAAGGAATTGTGGTTACTATCTTAGACGATGGCCTTGAGTCCGATCATCCTGATATAATAAACAACTATGTATGTGAATCGATGTGTTTATCTACAGTACATATGATGATAAATAACTTACGCATATTACAGGACCCAAAGGCTTCTTATGACGTGAATAGTCATGACGAAGATCCTATGCCTCATTACGATTTGGCCGACTCAAATCGACATGGCACAAGATGTGCGGGCGAGGTTGCCGCAACTGCAAATAATTCAATATGTGCTGTAGGAATTGCGTTTGGTGCCAGTGTTGGCGGTGTCCGAATGTTAGATGGGGACGTTACTGATGCCGTAGAAGCTCGTTCGCTGTCTTTAAATCCGCAACATATAGACATATATAGTGCATCTTGGGGTCCGGATGATGATGGAAAAACGGTTGATGGACCAGGAGAACTAGCCTCTCGCGCCTTCATAGAAGGTGTCACTAAAGGAAGAGCGGGAAAGGGTAGCATTTTCATTTGGGCTTCAGGAAATGGAGGCAGGGAGATGGATAATTGCAACTGTGATGGTTATACAAATTCAATTTGGACACTGTCAATTTCTAGCGCCACCGAAGATGGCTTTGTGCCTTGGTATTCGGAGAAATGTAGTTCTACTCTGGCAACAACATATAGCAGTGGAAGCCAGGCTGAAAAACAGGTTGTTACCACAGATTTGCATCATTCGTGCACAGTATCCCATACAGGAACCTCTGCTTCGGCTCCGTTGGCGGCCGGTATAGCTGCTTTGGTACTTGAATCCAATAATAACCTAACGTGGCGTGATATGCAACATATTGTCGTAAGGACAGCTAAGCCAGCCAACCTAATGGATCCCACTTGGTCTAAGAATGGTGTCGGCAGAAGGGTGAGTCATTCATTTGGCTACGGCCTAATGGATGCCGCAGCTATGGTTAAACTAGCTCGTCAATGGAAAACTGTTCCCGAACAGCAGCGGTGTGAAATTAATGCACCACATGTCGATAAGTATGTACAAACCTACCCGTTCCAAAACAAAATTGTATCTTGTACCTCTTGATTTCAGAGTGATTCCGCCCAAAAGTCACATAACATTGCAACTATCAGTTAAAAACTGTTTGAACATAAATTTTTTGGAACATGTTCAAGCCAAGATTACCTTGACATCACAACGAAGGGGCGACATTCAAATAAATCTTATTTCTCCTGCTGGAACAAAAGTAACTTTACTAACGCCTAGGTATGTATGTATAAACACACTCCAGTACATAAAAAGTATACAAATTGACAGATACTAACTTTCTGAGTGTCAGGATTAGGTATACATTCCGCGTTGAAACGTGATACTTAGCAAACACTGTGTGGGGGAATGATGAGGCAAAACGGGAGAAATGAAATTAGGCAATAAATCAGCGCAATCATGAGTAATAAATTCTTGGAACATTTTCTATTCCCTACAATAACTTAGAAATCTCCTAGGAAGCTTCCTTTTCCTTTAAAAAGCAACTCTTTAAAAATTTGGCAAGAATTTTTATAATATTTAAAGCAATCAACGTAACTTTTTGTATTTATTGTGAGTAATTTCGAAGTAACAAGATTCTTAGAATCAGAGCTGTGTTTTTTAAATTTGTTGAATTTATCATGCCACCTATTTGGTTAATTTACAATGCTACCAACAATTTGTGGTATTGACGATGACATTCGGTTAGTATCTCCTAGGAATAACCTCTTTTTCCCCTACAAAGTATGTATACTTGATCTAAGAAATTATAGCTTCTTAGTTTTGAGTGAAAGCTTTATTCAAAGCCAATTGAGTAAACTGATTTTGCTGGCGGATAAATTCAAACGCTAATTCAATATAAATAATTCATTTTTATTTTACAACTAATTTTTTTAACCTTGGTTCAACAGTTTAATCTTCAGTATTTTGACGATTTAAACTCTATTTCTAATGTAACTTTTTAAAATTCGGTATTTAGGGTCGAGTTCTACCTCTCCATTTACCTCCTGTGACAGAACATTGCTATACATGCCCCATATAATACGGTATTCAGTAGTATTTCAAATTTAATATTTAAAGCTTACAATATGTAACAACATCTGAAGCATAAAAATATCTATGTGGGTTCCCGTTTTGGTATAGCTTTGATATAAAGGTACCGGCCACTATATGGTATATATGGAATCCCGATTCTATTATCGAGGGCTTCTTTAGCTCATGGTGTGGTATTAAAATGTCACTCAAGCCGAAATTAACGCTTTTTTGCCTTGTTTATTTTTAAATAGAGTGAATTGTGTGATGTCACATCTAAATTTTTTCATATACACAACTTTTTTCATATATAGAGTCCATGATACTTCGCATTCCGGCTTTAATCAATGGCCATTCATGTCTGTTCATACCTGGGGCGAATCTCCACACGGCAATTGGCAATTAGAGATTCACAACGAGGGACGATATATGGGTAAGTAGCCTTAAATTGTCGTACTTTTTGACGGTATTTTTTAATATACTCTACAAGAGGTATTTGTACAATATTGTAATAACCTGTACATATAATTACAACATTTACACATATTAATATTAATGTAATTCTTTATTATACTCAATGCTGCTTTCTGGATATTGTCTCAAAATTACACATTGATATGCTTAAATGAATACTTAAATCCGTTTGAACCGATTGTTTAAACGATAACTAACCTAAGGTCATGCTCTACTTAGAGAGTGGTCATTAATATTTTATGGTACTACCCAATCCATTGACCCAAATGATCCAGTTTCCACACCTCGCACAAACTTTGACATCACAACTCCGAATTCAAGTTCAACTACTACCAGCCTGTACCAAATTTATTCTGCACAATATCCACGCATACCATCAACTAATTTTATTTCGTCTAAATTGGGAGCAGGTGGAAAATTCTCCTTAAATAAATTAACAGCCAATCCTTCGAATATAGTTAACAATTTCGCTTTGCCAAATGCAACATTGAGCCATGTTGTTCCCAATAAAAAATTTACAATGAAGCAAGGTTCATCTTCTCAGAATAATAAGAATTCTAAACAAAATAAAAACTTTAAGGCGAGGCCTCAGGACAACGCGAAGTTCAACAAAAATAACAAAGTGAAATCGAAGGAGAGTAGTTCAACATCTACACCGACTCCAAAGAACAAATTTTATCGCATATCACAGCAAGGCAAAATCTCATCATCGAAATCAACATCTTCTTCTGAAAATTTAAAATCAAAAACAGGGAAAACTCAGCATTCATCCGAGCGACTGCAGGCTTCTATTGATCACAAATCAAACAAGAAAGTTGTTGGTGATTTGCCAATTACAAATTCAAAGAAGGTAGTGACGTATGGTTCCGGAGAAAGCAATGCGAAATTGCACGTGAAAGCTACGAAGCAGGTCAAGAATCTCCTATCCACAAGAATTCCCACAACAACAACTGAATTGTCAGCGACGAATCGTATCCAAACTTCATCGGTACAGTCTAATCAACGTATTACCAAACTCTTTGAGCGTTATGAAAAAATACAATCGATATTCCCAGAGTTTCAGCCGTATCAACCAGTGCTGAAAGATCAAAAGGAAAATATTACAAAAATAGAAATTGAGAAATCGTTAAAAACAAACCATTCAATGTCACTTCCATTTAATGTTTCCACTAATCCTAGCGGCAGTTTTACAAAGCCATCACGTGAAAATACACGCAAACTGTCATCCAGTTTTGTGCCAGACCAAAATATTTTAAAGAAGCAGCAACTTTTATTGGCCGCAGCCGGAGTTAGTGGCGGAACTCAAAGACCAATAAGTGGCACTCTAACGTCATCACAGAAAAAAATATTTAATGGTACAACAGTTGTTGTAAATGTTGCATTGAAATCTGAAATGTTCCTTATCATTTTTTATGATTTTATTCTGAGTGTAAAGATGTTGCAAAGCATGTTTTTCATAGATCGTAGGTATTCTAAAAACAATTTAATTTCCATTTATTTTTTGATTAAAAAATGTTATTTTTGAATACATTTTTTGTACGTCCATATGAGTATAAAGCTCAAAGACATAGAAGTGTAAAGATAGGATAGGATGTAATAGGATAGGATAATTATTATCACTAGGTGAAAATAGATCTGTTGTTACGATATCATAACAATATGTTGCATTTAGATCTGAAATGTTCCTTATAATTATTTATGATTTTAGTCTGAGTGTAAAAATGTTGCAACGCATGTTTTTCATAGATAGTAGGTATTTTGAACACAATTTTATTTCCATTTATTATACCCTCCACCTTGAAAAAGAGGGTAAATTAAATTTGTCATTCCGTTTGTAACATCCCTTAATATTCATCGTAGACCATAAAGTATATATATTTATGATCAGTATAAAATTCTAAGTCGATTTAGCGATGTCCGTCTGTCTGTTGAAATCACTATACAGCCCACATTATTTGAAGTAGAGCTTCAAAATCTGGCAGAAAAATTTGTATTGTGTCAAGGATGGTTGGTACGGTCTAAAAATTGGTAATTGTAGTTCACAATGGGTTTAAGCTTCGGTGGCGTAACTATGTATGTATAGGTCCTCGTTTTCCTGTGGCGCACAAGTAACGATACCCATCGACATTCGGCATTTTGATAATACTAGTCACATTTACCCACGAAATTGTTTCAAATTAGGTATATAACAAGACTTGGTACATGACAATCCTTAAAAATTGGCCCCCATATAACAGACTCACTCACTTTATGGCTTTTTTGAAATGTTTAACAGCATTACCCAAACGTTTTTACTACTATTTGTAGTTTAAAGTGGAAAACGTTTAAATATATAAATTTTTTTCTTTGCCCAAAGGTGGAGGGTATCAAAAGTTCGGCCCGGCCGAATTTTTTTGTTTTTTTATAACCTCCACCATATTCCACCTCATTCCGTTTGTAACACCTCGAAATATACATTTTAGACCCCACAAAGTATATATATTCTTGATCAGCACAAAGTTCTATGGCGATTTAGCAATGTCCGTTCGTCTGTCCCTCTATCCGTCTGTCCGTCTGTGGAAATCACTCAAGCTTCCGAACGAAATGAAGGAGGTTGATAAAAGTATACTCAAACGTGTATTCGGTCTGCAGGACTTTTGGTATTGAAAATGGGCCATGTAGGTCCACGTCGTCGTATAGCTATATAGTTTCAAATTTCGCATTTGAAGTTCGTAGTGGGTACTACAGCCTATGACAGAAAATTGTCTGTGAATTAGAATTTAGAATTTTCAACGGATTTTATTTTTATGAAAATTGCCAAATTTGTACCAAATGGTGCAGGGTATACAAAGTTCGGCCCGGCCGAACTTTCAGCTTTTTTACTTGTTTTTGGTTAAAAAAAAGTTATTTTTGAATAAATTTTTTGTATGTCCATATGAGTATAAAGTTCAATGACATAGAAGTGTAAATATAGGACAAGCCAGTGTCAAGTTATCACCAGGTGAAAATAGATCTTTTGTTACGATATCATAACAACATAGTAACCAATGTTAAGTGATTTGAACCGCTAAGGTAATATGCAATTAATTACAAAGATCTATGAAATAGAATTTTGAAACAAATATATTGGATTGTTCAACCTCTTATTTGTCATTCTTTCCTATTATTATGTTTTTTATATTAACATACCTCTGTCATGAGCTGTTATTCAAGATAGTATAGCCACAAACCATTTTCTCAGAATGCGTTTTGTCTAGTCATTACCTTTTTATGTACTATTAATAGTATGTAGACTGAAAATATGTAGGCTAGTTTTTCGATAATGTGTTCCAAATATAGTTGTCAGAAAAAGTATTCGTATATATTTAATGAAATTATTATTGACTGATAAAAAAAAACTTCGAAATTCTGTGAACAGCCGTTTTGAAACATATAGTAGTTTTTTTTTATTCGAACATTAGTGAAGATTTTTATATATTTTTATATATTTAGTTATAAATTTCTTTATTAATCTATATGCATATTTATAAAACTAATTTATCTTCCGAAGCTTAAGCATTGTTTACAAGATTTTCGAACCCCAGCAAAGATTTTTTGCAACAACATATTTATTTATAAATGTCTATATTAATCTTTATGCACACACATATAAATATTTTGTTTTGTTGTTTACAGTCTAAGCATAGTTTTGAATGAGATACAAGCATATATTTATTTATTTATTTATTTATAATATATAATAGCCGAATTATATTTACAGAAAAATTTGTAAGTATATTCACATACAAATTTCATGTATATTTAATTAAAGGCATTATGTGCTGCGCTGTTAAGTGTTCACAACCACAGCATAGTAAATCTCGAAGACTATGGGAAACTGGCAACAAATTCAAACAGAACTGCTATCCAGCATGTGATACAAGTCCGCAAACTACACTTCAACTAATTTTTTGCACGGAACATCCGAGCAGTGATTGCGGTTATTAATTTTGATGACTACCTGATGATATGCTGTGAGTACTTCACAGCCACAGCATAGTTGACGTCAAGTTATTTAGTATCAATTACAGAACAGTAAAGCAACAGTTTTGGTTTTTGATAACTGTGACTGCCAGGTCTGAAGATACAGCATACGCTTTTGCAGTATTTTTTTTTTGTGAATGAGTGGCCGTCGTTGCAAACTTAAAAGAAGCTATACATTTACCGTCTCAACGCATTATATTATATATATTTTTTTGACACGCCGGGTCTTGAATTCACAATCTTTGTTTCCATTAGTACTGGTAATGCAGACGGTAGCTTCTTTAACCTGTTTTTCATAGGCTCATACAGCTTTCAAGTTTTATTTGGGAATGAGTGTGGGCGTCGGCGTAGGCCTAAGGTCTGTAAGATAGGCGTTCGTCGTAATATGTATGTAAGTCATGAATTCGGGTGATTTGCATGAAGGTATCGTTGAAACTCCTGGTACCTTATATTTCCGCCTATGTTTTAATATTTCATTTCATTTCATTTCATTTATTTACCTTACAAAGAAATATAAATAAGCCCACAGGGCCCATAACTTATATTATCTATCTACAATACCCTAACATAATACAAATTCAATGATTAATTCAAACTTAACAAATAACATATTAAACCTAATAATTTATCTTAATAATTCACGTGAAGCTCGAACCCTACACCTCGATTCACCATCACCAACTAAACAATAGTCTAGTAGAGCAGTGAAAAAGTGTAGCAGAAACGAGCTAAAAATAAGAGATAACTATTTTATTACTCACAAAACAGAGTATAAATAGTAACTCACATTATACCCTACAAATAAAATTAAGAAGATAATATAGTGGCTCCCCAGCCCAAACAAAAAGAAAAGCAAAAAGAAAAACCCATAATAAACCGAAGCAACCACTACAAAAACATAGCCTACATATTTAGGCGAAGGTATTCAATTACTTTAACCCTAAACAGATAATTGGTATGGGCAAAAGTACGTAAGGCCAAAGGCAGCTGATTCCACAATCTCACCGCCCTAACCACAAATGATCTCTCACCAATGGAGGACGAAAACCTTGGACACAACAATTGAGGATTTCGAGATGATCTACAAAACACAAAGTTGTCACGAAGAGGCGAGTCAAAATTGCACATAACACTGTAATGAAATTGAAGAATACGAAGATCAACGTAGCTGCTAAATGGCAATCCCAGGAGATCATTAACAAAACAAGAAACATGATCACCACGACGCAAGCCATACACATAACGAACAATCGAATTTACCGCCCTACGGATACGTTGCATTTGAGAAGAAGTAGTACCGGAGACTACCTCTAGACAATAATTTACCTGCGATAGCAGCAAGGATACAACCACTCTCTTCCTAACATGACAAGGCAAATAAGCATTAAGACAATACAGCCTCCGCAGCTGAAACCTTATGCGACAAAGCAAGGAATCAATGTGTCTCTTAAAGTCCAACTTCCGATCAATTATAATACCAAGACATTTCATTTCATCAACAAATTTCACTAACACAGAACCCACAGTAATATTAAGAGAACCACCATTACCATGATCATTGAACAGCATAGCTTTAGTTTTATTCCAATTAATCATAAGGCCATTTAGCGAAATCCACGACGAAAGAGACAAAACAATAGAATTAACCAATCCTTCCAACCCAGCAATATCAGCCTCTCTGAAGAAAACATGAATATCATCTGCATACAAAAACAGACAACACCTGTCATCAACCACTGAGTGCACAATGTCATTAATGAACATAATAAATAACAACGGTCCCAGTACAGAACCTTGCGGGACTCCACATTGGACACTACAAACTTCAGACGAAACACCCAAATGAACAACAAACTGAGACCTACCTTCCAAATATGAAGCCATTAAACGACACGCAGAAGATGAAAAACCAAACTTAACCCTCAGCTTGTCAAGTAAAAGGGAATGGTTTATCGAATCAAAAGCCTTTGACAAGTCAAGGCCCAATAATAACCCAACATCAGATGAATTAAATACATCTCTAATCATGTCAGTAAGATATAATAAGTGCGTGGTCGTACTATTATCAAATTATTAAATTATTCATTTTGATTCTTGAAAAATTCTTATTATTAACCATAATTCAAACAAGAGCGAAGGCTATAACTGAACGGGCGAACCATGTGATACAATATACTACTTTTATCAAAGACATGAAACTGTAAAGAGTAGAGTATTTAGAGTAGTCATGTATAGAAGTTTTTAGAACCGTCCTATGGGCTAGGTAACTGTGTTAATTGAATATAAATAAAAAAAATAAAGTCTGTACTAAATCTAGTCCATGGGAAAATATGAAAAGGGACTCCCCACCACAGAGACATGTTAAAATTAAAACACAACCGTAGCTATAACACTGACCTAGTCTATCAACGAATGCTAGTTAAATATTTGATAAACAACTTTAAATTGGATAAAAAACATTTTTAGCTCATTTTTACCAAATAAAGTCTGGACTAAATCTAGTCCATGGGAAAATATGAAAAGGGACTGCCCACCACAGAGACATGTTAAAATTAAAACACAACCGTAGCTATAACACTGACCTAGTCTATCAACGAATGCTAGTTAAATATTTGATAAACAACTTTAAATTGGATAAAAAATATTTTTAGCTCATTTTTACCACAAATTCGAAAGTATTTATCCACTGTAATTGTAAGAAATCATTCCAAATTAATACCATAGAGGGCACGTTTGTTGTGCAACCAGTAAATTTATCACCACATAAAATCAAATGTATGCTGCACTCAGTTTTTAGTTGTTCTTTTTTTAATGAAAAAATATGTATATTTTTGTAGCATAGTATGCATGACATAACCACTGTTCAATAGTAATTATGTGAATTAATTACTATATAAATATTGTATTTTAGCTCAAATTACTCAGTGGGATTTGATTTTCTATGGCACAGAAGAACCTGCTCAACCTGATGATCCTGTTCCTATGGCCACGGACAAATTCAACTTGGTTACTGCAGAAGCAGAACGCAATAATTTTGACTATGGCTCAAATAGTCAGTGGCGTGATACACCAAAGGTTGGTTTTAGTATATATACATATATATCAGACAACTAATATATATATATATATATATATATATATATATATATATATATATATTTTTTTTTTTTTTTTTTTTTTATTGCCCTGTAAAAGTAGTACTTTTTCGACCTTTTTAATTGTATATTAAAGATTTTTGTCGAAGCTCCTCCAAACTTGGCAAGTATTGTTAATTTTTATTGATTCCATGCATGACTCAGTTATAAGTTCAACAAATAAGACCAATTGATACCTTCATTTACTGTCAACATAATTTAAATTCGCTTTACAATCGCGTACGAAAAAAGACTGTAATCCGTGGTTGATTTTAAATTTAAAATATTTATTTATTTAATAGAAATGTGGATCATTTGTGGATGTTGGGTACAAGGTACATTCTGGGTACATTGGGTACATTCAAGGTACATTCTGCAGCTTTAATTTTGATTTTAATAATATGCTTTTTATACCCTACAACACTATGTGTTGGGGGTATTATAAGTTTGATTGGGCCAGAATTTATGTAACACCTCGAAATATTGGTTTCCCATATACGAAAGTATATATGTATCTTCCTAGCTCGCCGAGCTGAGTCGATCTAGCTATGTATGTATGTCCGTCCGTCTGTCCGTCTGTCCATGTTAATTTGTAATCACTCTACAGGTCGCAATTATGGTCCGATCTTCACGAAATTTAAAATGGAGGTGGGGCTAGGGTCAGAATAGAAGCCTATTTCTTTTGGAGACGATCGCCAAATGTTTAGGGGTTGAAATGGACCAATATTTGCAGTAGCTATACAGGTCGCAATTATAGACCAATCGATGCGGAATTTCGTATGTAGCTAGAGTTTAGGGCGGGGAAGAAGCCTACCAATTATGGTGGTCATCGGATAATATACCACCATATATTTTGTGTTGAAAAAATTCAACATTTTTCATTAAACCGCGAATATTTTAAATTCCGGCGAAATCACGAAGCCATGAAAAGGTTACTTCTGACCTTTACATTGATGTTAACATCCAACAAATCGGATATATAGCAAAATATGTGCGATATATATGTCTATCAAAGAAGATATGCTTGAAAGATTTCTTATATGTCGAGAACGGCTGAACTGATTTCGACTGTTCTCATTAATTCAGAATGGCCTCTTGGCAGGAAACAAAAAACTTCTAAAAAATTCCACAAAAATATCTCTCTAAAGATAAAAATATTGATTTTGTAACATTTTCTCATATTTTTTCAATTTTGTCATATTTTTGGCATATTTTCATTTTGAATTAAACATTTGGTAATATTTCTACAGCTAACAAAACTAAGTAGTTAGGATATCAGGATATCATATACAGATCGCATTTATGGCCCGATCCTTACGAAATTTTGCATGGGGATAAGAAGAGGGTCAGAATAGAAGCCTACTCGTTTTGGAGATGATCGCCATATATTTAGGGGTTGAAATGGACCAAAAACCTGCAAAATTGTCAGCAGGTCGTAATTATCGCCCGGTCCTCATGCACATTTGAATGGGGGTTACCGGACATTGCAAAAGCCAAGCAGTTTTGGATGGCCATCCAAAAATATTCAATGTGCGAAATAGTTTGCCAACTTTTGTAGACAAAATACGAAAATGTCCCTTCCAGTGACTCTTTGGAGAATTCACAAATACAGGAAAGACGCACTTCTGACTATTTCGTTAAGGCTGATTTCGTTGAAGAATATAGTCAATTGTCTGTATCCCATATAGATGCCTTTCAGTCAAAAATCAATAATAAATGTTATTCTTTTGCCACTTCTGAGAGATTATAGATCTTTGGGAAATATTGGTTCCAGATCTAGGAAGACTATTTACGTGCAACATCTACCAATAAATTGGAAATGGAAATACGGATCCACTGTACATTTAAGTCTATGATGCGTGATTCACAATCTAGCATTGAATATGGTTCCCAACATATCACACAGAAATTTCGTGTTTTTCTTCCAAGCTCTTTCTGAGTAACTGACTTCTTTTTCAGATTAATGATGTACAGAATTATTTCTCTATTATAATTTAATTTCTTGAACACGGGTTTGTTGTTCAAAACATACAAAACAGCATTTTTAAACATGGTTTTTATTTTCCACTTTATATGGTCTGTGCTATACCGACGCATGATTCTCATTGAGATATATTACAATAATAGTCGTAGTGGATATCACAAAAAAGTTTGTGATCAAGCGGTTGTTGTTGTTGTTGTTGTATCAGTAGTACATATGGGTGCTTGCATTCTGCTAATCTTGTCCAAGCTCCCGGTTTAAAAATTCGGCTACTTTAACGGACTGTAGCCCGAGATCTTCTGGAGTGAGTGGAATAGATTTGGCTGTGCAATTAAAGAGGTGCAGCGTATTGTGCGGGCCTGCATCACACGCCGGGCAGACGTCACACAAATCTTCGTCAATTCGTGCCCAATACGAATTGAGACGACTACACCATTCTGAACGTAATTGCTCCAAAACTACCCGGGTTTGCCTTGACAGCTGGCGTTCTTCAGCTGCAATGGATTGGGGGTGGACTCCGAGGACGGCATTCATTCTGTAGTTGCTGATAGCATCTGCGACTGCATCGGTATGAATGCCACTCAGACCTGCTTGATAGACTTCTTGATGTAGAGGTTCTCTTTTATAGCGTTTTATAGCGTTCACGGTAACACTCAAGCAGGTATTGAACGAAAGCATATTATTATGCTGACGTAAGGGAAGGACTTTCGCCTCCTTATGTAGATGGTCTACTGGTGTCATGAGGAGGCTCCCTGTCGCATTCTGGTAGGTTTGGATGTGCTTCCACTGCGTAGCTTTAGTTTTCGCACATTGGAGCCGCATACCTGATCACAGACCAACCTATCGTTTCCTACTTTTCATCTTGTCGCATAGCTGTGACTTGCGCGGACGACTTGAACAAGCGGTCGAATGTGACCTCTTGAATCTTGGGGTAGTTCGTGGTCGGTATTAAATTTCCCTCAACCTGCACATTCAGCTGTGTTCTCATCTCCGCGGCCATGTGGCGACCAGTATATGGAGACGATTATCGGGAGATTGTCTGAGCCAAGAGAAATGACGGGTTGCCAAGTCACGCCATTTATCAGACCAGGTGACATTATAGTTAAGTCTGGCGAACTGTGACATTCTCCTCTTATTCGGGTGGGGCATACTCGTTTAACGTGCAGAATGTGCAGCCAAATCTATTCCACTCACTCCAAAAGATCTCGGGCTACAGTCCGTTAAAGTAGCCGAATTTTTAAACCGGGAGCTTGGACAAGATTAGCAGAATGCAAGCACCCATATGTACTACTGATACAACAACAACAACAACAACAACCGCTTGATCACAAACTTTTTTGTGATATCCACTACGACTATTATTGTAATATATCTCAATGAGAATCATGCGTCGGTATAGCACAGACCATATAAAGTGGAAAATAAAAACCATGTTTAAAAATGCTGTTTTGTATGTTTTGAACAACAAACCCGTGTTCAAGAAATTGAATTATAATAGAGAAATAATTCTGTACATCATTAATCTGAAAAAGAAGTCAGTTACTCAGAAAGAGCTTGGAAGAAAAACACGAAATTTCTGTGTGATATGTTGGGAACCATATTCAACACTAGATTGTGAATCACGCATCATAGACTTTAAATGTACAGTGGATCCGTATACATTCTAAAAAAGCATATTATTAAAATCAAAGTTAAAGCTGCAGAATGTACCTTGAATGTACCCAATGTACCCAGAATGTACCTTGTACCCAACATCCACAAATGATCCACATTTCTATTAAATAAATATTTTAAATTTAAAATCAACCACGGATTACAGTCTTTTTTCGTACGCGATTATAAAGCGAATTTAAATTGTGTTGACAGTAAATGAAGGTATCAATTGGTCTTATTTGTTGAACTTATAACTGAGTCATGCATGGAATCAATGAAAATTAACAATACTTGCCAAGTTTGGAGGAGCTTCGACAAAAATCAAAAATCAATTAAAAAGGTCGAAAAAGTTGGTGCAAATAACAGCAAGTATACTTTTAGTTTTTTCAACTTAGTTAATGATAATGTAAAAATTATCTAATATTACAGATTCGATTAGTAGCAATGTGAAAATGTGCGGTAGTTTACCGCAGATATTTATGCGAATTGTCTTAAAAATGTTTGGCTTTTATTTTAAAAGAAACAACTATGTTAATAACTTTTTTTTATATAATTTCAGCTTGGTGAATCCGGTATGGAGAACCACGATCGCACAAATACAAGTTGCCTGAAAGCTACAATAAATCTCCAGTGCTTAGGTTTGTCCTTATTAACTATTATATATTCCTATATTTCTTTTAATAACCTCTTCAGTCGAAAGAGATAATTCTTTACACCAATGTCTCTAACAATAAGCTAAATGGGAAATGTTAGCCATTAGATACCCTGTACAGAGTAAACAACAATTTAGTTATAACTTAGCCAACAAATTATATACACACATGTAGATATAAGTAAAACATTATATAGAATCAAATTTTAGAACAGACAGAAAACAATTTTTTAAATGTAATCTATAGGTGGCGCCCTGGAGTTAAGCTATTAATACTACAATGGAATCAATGGTTGTCTAGTGTACGTGTAAAACTATTTGCACGCCTTACATTGGGTGACGACTTTAGAATCGTCAACTGCACTTTGTAAACTAGATATTTGGGTCGGGCCTTCGAGTCATGAGTAGCTTCATATAGTTTCAATTTGTACTTAGGTTTTCCGTCATTCCTACCTCGTAGGGGGATAAAAACACATTATAAAATATACAAAATATTTGTTTTAAACATAAAAGAATGTGCGTGAATTTTCATTATCTAATATATATATATATATATATATATATATATACACATTATAAAATATACAAAATATTTGTTTTAAACATAAAAGAATGTGCGTGAATTTTCATTATCTAATATATATATATATATATATATATATATATATATATATATATATATATATATATATATATATATATTTTTTTTTTTTTTTTTTTTGGCGTTTGAAACATGTAATATATTGAAATTTTTAAGAAAATAGTAATGCTTCCCAAGAATGAAAATGCTACTTTTTCGGTTGTATAGAAGCTTTTAAACATTAAAAAAGTGAACAGGTGATTTTTTTGAGAATTACAAAAACAACTCAATATGGATTGTTCTGTAGTCCTCTGAAACCAGACTCAGTTTCTGGATATATTTGGAAAACCTTTTAGATTTACACCATATAAACTTCTTAACAACTTGTAATAAAAAGTGCATAAACCTATACTAAATTAATGTACCAAAATAATGTTCAAAATTTCTAATTAGTGTCAATCAATACATAACGTTTCTTAAAGGAGCTCTGTTTTCGTAAATGAAATATGTTTTGTGAAAAGTGACAATGATCCACGTTTACAATCAACAACAATCATGCATCTGATACTGTGTGGGGCTTATGTTTTGCATAACAATCTTTAACTTTGTTTGTTAATGTCAATATGCATCGAATCATTAGTCTTGCACCTTTTTGAAGAGTCATTTCTATAATGGAAATGAAATGTCAAAATGTTGGTTTTATAGTATTAAATCTATCGCCCAATAAAGTAAAAATAAACATGAGCACAAATATTATTAACCCAATTTTTCGCCTGCATTAGTGCGGGGGTGCATACTTCTGTCTCATTGGGTCTAAACAAATAGACAACCGGTTAAGCAAGCCAAACAATAAAAATAGTTTTTGTTGTCAACATATGGAGACTGCCAATTTTTAAAAGAGCTAGTGCCGTATAAAATGCTAAATTAATCCTTTGTTTTGATAAATTCGACAAGTTGTATTATATTGATCCTATAATTATTACGAATATCAAAATTTTTGTTTTGTCATAAAAATATATGTTTCTGTTGGTTTTCTAATCGATCAATAGTATTAGTTTGAAGTCAAATTTGTTTTTAAATACAAAAGTAAGTTATTAAAGCTTAGTCACGCAATTACGACATGCCACCGGACGCCTATTGAAAATTGTGCTGCCAGACTTTTGATCATGCCAATAGTTTGTATATTGCCGGAAAGTCATACCATGCTCTTATTTGTGGCAGGCGTACACCTTCACAAATGAATTTAACATATCCATTTGTATAGTAACACAAATATAATTATTTACATCTGCGGATGCATACTGAGTGCAATAAAATATTTTAAGTTTATCAAATTTGTTTTTAGACAATGGATGTTACAGTGCAATTTCTATAGTTTGCTTATGTAATTAACTCGACTATAACACACATATCTCTGTTATACCCTATAGCAATATATACACATACATGTTTTGTTTAATCGTTAATTTTGTTTTGTCGAGATGCTGTCACATATAGCTCTCATAGATTAGTAAGGTATATATAGAGTCCTATTCGTGCACACTAACTCCGTGCGCATTTGTTGAATACCATTTATTTTACCCAATTATTAATGAGTTACTTGCAGCCTAACTGATGTTTTTTCAACATTCCATGTTGCATTTTTGGCATATCGTTAGCATGACAAGTTTATTTTATACGAGGAATTCATTATTCCCAGAGGCCACTGAGCATAGCGAATGGGTATCGAACATAGGAGGGGAAATTTATTTACGTATGTATGTATGTCGTAGCGCAAATTGAGATAAGCTTACGTACACCAGACTAAGGAGGAGATGATCACTTATATTTTACAACTTAGCGTACTTAAATGCCAAATTGTTTAACTTGAAGTAAACTAGGGAATATACTACGTATTATTATTTACAAACCTATTCCGGTGTATGCATACCGACTTATCAATTAGACACCAACATAATAATATAACAATATGTATTGTAATAAAGCAACAAATTGTAAAGAAAATAAATAATAAGTTTGCAATAATAAACGCCAATAGTTTCATATGAAACAAATATGTATATAAAAGCATTCTGAAATTACATTTAAAAATACCTAAATAAAGAGGAACCTAATTGAAATGCTGAATAGATAATTGTCATTGTATGTATAAGGTAAGCGAAAATGTGCTTAACTCCGCGATTTGTCGCTATCAAGATACAGCAAGTGTCTATTGATGAGCCAGTTCTTAAAAAAATAAAAGCAACTTATAGAAAATTGGAGGTGAGTGAGAGTCATACATCAAATGTTTTCTTTTCTTTTAATCTTTTGTTTCATTGCGTTTCGTTTCTTTTCGGAAAATAGTCGCAATGGTACTTATGTGGTTCATCAGGCATTAACCTCTTATAGTAAAAAAAAACAGCACATCTGTCCCCGAAATTCATCACTGCTCCACCTACCCACATAAGTGCTTTTATTTTTCTTTGTTGGTGACTGGTAAACAATTTTGCTTTTTGTTCTTTTGTTTTTCCTCATAATTTAAAAGCATGTTTTCGCTAGTATTTTTTTGTTAATATATTGACTGTGAGTAATGGCATCAAAGTGTTAGAATATCTACCGGTTCTGCAAAATTAACTACTGATCCTACAAGTCCCAAGAGAGACGTGTCGTTAAAAAAAGGGCAAAATTAATTTCTTCCGACATGCATTCATTTTATAAAATGTACGGTGAGCAAATAAATTGATCAAATTCTCCATTTAAAATGTTATCCAAAAATTACAATATCATAAAGATAATTTACTTTGTCTAGAACATTATTAATAAAGCAGCAATTGTTTCTATTAAAATTCCATTCCAAAAAGTAATTCGAAAGGCTCATAGGCAGTAATACATCTGGTATTGCGGTGAAACATATTTTTCAGAATTTTAACATTTTATTAAACAACACCCAACTGCTCAAAAGATCAACAAAAAAAAATAATATTAAACTTGTAGATGATTTTTCAAAAATAATTTGAATTTTTAGACTTAACAATTTTTGCTCACTGAACGCATTTGTATTTTTCTTTGTTTATTATGTTTATATGTATGAACGTGTTAATAATTTGTAGAAACTGTTTCTTTTTATTATTTTCCTAGTTTTGCACATACTTTGTGTCTGAATTAAAAACTTTATTTCAATTTTTGTTTTTAACTTAGTTTGTGCCCCGCCTACATTTTTCTATAGAGGACGTTGCTATGATATGTGCCCTGCCCATACGTACATCGCTAGGGGTCAATTACACGTCGATATGACATACAACAATCTACGTGGACAGGCACCTGATTATGAGGAATTGCAGGCCAACGATCGAAAGAAGCGGAGCAGGGGAGCGGAAGTAGGTGAAACTGATGATGATGGTCACACTTTAAACAGTCAAACTGCCTTTATCTGTGAACCGTGTGATAAAAGTTGCTTCAACTGTTTTGGTCCCTTGAGTTCCGAATGTAAAACATGTTATAGTGGGAGCCAATTGAAGAGACGACTGAATACCAACGAGTCTTATTGCGTCAATTTTTCTGAAAGGAGTTCCGGCAATGCAATAGCAAGTCAGAGATCAGATCGCGACTACCGTTCTTTGCTATTTTTGGTATTTTTGGTGCCATCTGTGATAATAATTTTAGTAGTACTTTTGAACAAATCTGAGATAAGATTTAATATCTGCAAATGCCAACGGAAAGCCGGGATTGAATCATCTGTCGATTACAGATATGATCGTGTGTCCTTAATTGCTGATGAGGAAGCCCAAGAGGAACTGGATTAAAACCTAACATCTCTGATCAACAAAATTTCCATTATTTTAATAATGCTTGTGACACAAGGCCAGATACATCAAATTTAAATAATGCAAAAGGGTTGCGGAACAATGTTGCTCATACTATACTATATAAAGACTTAGAAGCTATTACGCACTCTCTTTCAATAGTCTTTTTTATGGAAAATAGTATTGGTAAAGTTATTTAAATGATTATTTAAGACTTAGCATATATTTAAGTCTCATTAAAACTAACATTTTAGCTAAATAATTCGAAATACATAATATTGTTTAATATATGCATATGAATCGGCTTTTTCATAATTTACTTTACACTAGTTCAAATAGTAATATATGGATTTTTTGTTACTCTATTAGCGTATATCTATAATGAAACAATTTCTCTGTTCCAGAACCTGCAAAAATCTTCTAGATTTGCAATTTTTTTCGATATCATTTATTGAAAATCGGTTATCGTAGTTAAATATGCTGATCGATACGAATGTATACCAAATCTGGGGTTTAATTTTTAGGTATTAACTTGCAAATTTAAATACGAAAGCCTAGTTTATGGTATGTAAAGTTGCCTTTTCACATTTTATATTGTAGGGATTGTCTAAAATATGTTATAAAATTGTTTTTCATTATTAATAAGACGTGGAGACCAGCGTTAATACTTGTAATACTTTTTTTAAAGTTACGACAAATTTGATTAAGATTATATAATAAGTTAAACATTTCTTATGAATTTGTATATATTATTGATATTAACATCAGTTTTAGGATGTAACAAGTGTTCTCGTATATTTGGCAGTCTCCTCATTTTTAAAATGTGGATTTTTTTTTTCAAAAATTGGATCCAAAGTTTTTAATAATTCACTTTCATGACAGTATCATTAAGCCGCTTTGTGCGTATTTTAACCATTGATTTTGAAAATATTTTGTTTTTATTCTTGACAACAATAAATTTGGGAGAAGTCCAACACTCTCAGAGAAAATTGTGAACAGCTGGTAGCTCTACAATATCTTTTATTCTTCCACGAGTAATACGTTTTTAATCGAAAATTAAAAATATTTTTTTTTTCTAAGAGCGCTACCTACAATTCGACGAAGCGTACACAAAGATTCAACTTAACCACTGTTGTAAAATGTTTTGTACGTCCGTATATATTTAAGAATTTACCAAACAAGAACATTGTAAATATTTATGCTTTTTTAATTCACCCAATTTAATAGTTTCCAATTATAAACATTTCCGTTTTTTGAATTATTAATTTTTATTTTCAACATACAAAAAATAAATTGTTTAATTGTCATTTTTCAAATTGTTCAACCTTAAAAATTTCATACGTCTGGCGTATTTGGGTAACTTTCATATAAAAACATGTGTTTTTCTTGTATGCTGAAAAACGTCGACGTTGTACGTCGAACTTTATTTAACGCTTTAAAATTCAGGCAAAGACTTAAAATGGTAAAGACTATACAAAGTGCATTCTGAACAAATGGTGTGTGGCTACACCATCTAGAATTACAGCTTATGACAGAGGCATGTTAATATAAAAAGTACAATTATAGAAAATAAAGACAAATAAAAGTTTGAATATACATTCCGAAATAATTGCATATTGCCTTAGCGGTTTAAATTACCTAACATTGGTAACTATAGGTGTGTCTGGTTACCCTAAAATTTGTAACAATTGTTACTGGAAGTCGTCTGTTAACCCGAAAGTTCTGCACAAGAGAGCGGTTGGAGAGAGAGATTTTGACAGTTCTTTCAGTGAGAGTTTGCAAATTCTTGCTGGACAAATTTCTTCTTGCAATCTCTTGCAACTCTTCTTCTTCTCATTCATCGACATTCAATCAGATGTTTTCTATTGTTTATTTATTTCTTTTTGTGATTTTAATTTGAAAATATTGTTTTGGAATTAGAAAGACTAATTGTTTTTGGAGAACAGCTTTACAAAATGTGAAAAACATAAATATTAATATGATACAATAAAAAGGTAAGGTAGAGCTATCAGCTGATTACAATTTTTTTTCTAAGTGTGCCGGACTTCTGCCAATTTTGTGTATGTATTTATAGTTTTCAAAATAAAAACAAATTATTTTCCAAATCAATGATTGGAAGACGCGTAAATTGTGAGACGCGCAATAAAGCTATTCGGCAGTTTTATCATGAAATTGAATGATAGAACTGTTTAGATCACATTTTTGAAAGAAAATCTAGGCATTTCATTCATTTTTCCCGCTATTCAACAGATTTTAAAAATGAGGATAAATATTGAATAAATGAAAACAACTTGTGGCATGCAAATTTGACAGGAAGCGGACATAGCCTCAGGGCAGTATTTCTTTAATTTTACGAAGCTGTTCTACCTCCTAATTGTACCACGGTACCACCTATTTTCTAACGGTTTCCTCTGGCTGTCATATAAAGATACGATATTCGGTAATTTGATGATTTTATTCACAGAATTGTTTGAAATTGTGACGGCAGAACATTCCTATATACTGCCAAGTTTTCCTGGGTCTCCATACAACTGAACCATGGTCATGGCTTTGTATTTAATAAAATAGGGTGTTTGCTCTTGGCAATTGCATTGCTGTACTTTATTGGAATACAAGGATAAATATATTAATAAATAATTACGTCGACATATCAGCTAATAAGATACTATAACGCATTAGATTTGTACGCTAATATTTGATGAGTTTGTCTATGTACGCATACATGTACGATAGACGAATGTCGTGTTTTAAACTATTATAATCTCAGTTTCATTTCCTCCATAAGCTGGAAGAGTTTAATAAATTTTCTGTCGATAGCTTCCATCATGCGGTCTATATCGTTTCGAACGATTGCTAACTCCAATGCAGCATCGGTAAGGGGACTACCATCACATTTTTTTGAGCTTCTCGTATTTTCATACCAGCAAGCCATCCCATCAATATAGTCATCTACAAATTCCGGTGCAATTGAGTCCTCCAGAAAGGATATATCGCGTCGTTTGACAAAAGAGGTCATGATCAACTGTAGAAAATCGCAGTTCCAGTTATTTTGCTGAAAATAAAAGTACTGCAAGTCCTTCAAGTGGTCAAACATTGTAATTTTCAGGGTAAAAAGAGAATTTGATGAAATATCGAGCGATTTGAGGTGAGCCTGGTTTTTGAATACACCCTCGTCCACATCGTGAAGTCCAGTAGAGCTTAAATTCAGTCGGAGTAAACCAGAGAATCGTCGAAATGGATTACCTTGCAGAGAACCCAAAGGATTGTGGGATAGATCTAACGCAGTCACATTGGATGCATTCGGAATATGCGGTATGTCTCTTAGTGAATTGTTGCGTAGTTCCAATTCCCTGACAATACCCATAATGGTCAGCTTCCGCATATCGCAGTTATTGGCGCAAACCGATTCAAGTAAGGGGAAGTTCAGAGTTAATTCCTGTAAAACATTATCGGAAAGGTCTAAAGAGGCTATTCTGTATTGATACTGAAATATTTCCGATTTAAAAGTTTTTAAGGAATTTCCTGCTAAGGAAATATGCGTAAGATTGAGATTTGAGTCAAAAATTCCTTTTGGCAGTGATTTCAATCGGTTTCGAGCTAAATTAATATCCAATAATTTACGCAACGGCACAAAGACCCCGGAGGGCAGTGATTCGAGCATGTTACTATCAAGGGAGAGTTGTTTTAGTTCCTTCAAACTGTGAAAACTATAGTTGTTCAATGTAGTTAATTGATTGTGGTTTAACATTAAAACATTAAGATTATCTGCTCCCAAAAATGTATTCCGCGGAATTTCTTTTAGACGGTTATGTCCCAGAAATAAATTCATCAAATTACTTGCGCCCTCGAACTGTGGCCTCTCGAAAGTATCCACTGAACAGTTTTCCATGCGCAAAACTTGTAGATTTGGAAATGTATCAAACATGAGATGAGGTATTTTCGCAATGCTAGAATTCACGAAGGTAAGTATGATGTGCTTTTCTACTGCCGTCTGGGACATTATAACGTAGTCAGTACGGTCAATTACAATATCGCCACAAACTCCATCACGACAATGGTCTTGCATCCATATGCGCCTCACTTGCCCACTGTGAACACTGCCGATTCTATAAAACACAACAAGTCCAATCCATATGATTATTGTCGATGTAAACGGTTTCACTTTTTCCAAACTCATTTTAATAATGTTTTATTGTTCGAGTAAAAAGACGGGTTCCAGAATATTTAGACTTGAATGATATTCCTCCAGTTTTCTGAAACAAATAAAAAACTGTTTTCAATTTTGGTCTAAATATTTTTGGCTTATTTAGGCATTAATGTATACAAAAAAACTCAATCGTTTGCAAGCGGAAATTGATTTTGCGGTAGCTTAAGCAACCGGATATGATAACGTAACACAACTGCGCAATCTGAACCTTTTCCTTTACAAAGTTAGCTTAGCTATTTGTACTTATGCAAAATATTTTCCTAAATAAATAACTTGAAACCTAAGTTACTTTGCAAATGTTACTTATTGCACCAACAGGAATACAGCGTCAATATTCCTTACCGGCTGAAAAAGTTTAATTTTTTCCACCATTTTGGTGGAATCAGTATACTTACATTTTGAAATTCACATACATATATCTATGTATAAATGCCCAGTAAAGGCATTACGCGATTGACGGCGGTAGCCCGCGTCTATGATGTGATCGCTATGACCCCAGTTGCTCGACTAGAATATTTGTGTTTGAAATCATTCCACTTCGTCAAATTCATTACGGCTTTGCTATGTTTGTCACAACTGTTGATGAATTAGAGATGTCTGTTGATGGCGTTCAACCCTTCCGTAGCGGATGTATACAGAGAAACCAATTTAGACGTGGAATTCTTTTGCAACATATAAAACGGCAATTCCAACCTTTTCACATGCACGATTTTACTGCGGCAAATGCATTAATGTGGTGTATTCCAATCCTGATACATTATGACATGCCAGATTAAAACTACTTCATCTGGCATTCCGATTAATTTGTATACACAGCACTTGATATTTGTACAGTTAAGAAGTTATAAAGTTAAAAAAATGTTAGACATTTTTTGTAAAGTGCTTATAAAAATGCCAAAGAAAGGAAACGAGGCTTAGCTTTTTTTGTCTTCCATTATTTGGCCAAATAAATTTTGTGATAGCGTTATACTTTCCCTGTTTATGTGCCTGTGCTTGTAAAAACTAAATATTTTCCCGAGTCAATACCGATATATGTGGACGATTTCAAATCCCAAAATACTATAATATTTCCAAAGTCTAATACCCGAGGTACAGTAAAAAAATCTCATCAAATCTCATCTTCCACACTGTGGCAAAGTGTTTAGTACGCTTTTATTACCCAAATACGCAAGGTTCATATCTTCAAGCAATCCAAATAAAATCACAGCAACATTTTAACAAATTCTCTCAAATTCAGCCTTTTTCGATAGCACAAATTCACATATTTGGTATGTTCCAGAACTGCCAGAATGTAACAGTTTTTATAACGATAACCGAATTTATCTTTAGGATATCAAAAAAATTCCAAAACTAGTAGATTTTTGCAGGTTCTGGAACAGGCCGAATTCAGATACACGTATTTTATGTCGAAGACGTTGTTTACCTTACAAATTAATCCATTATAAAATTACAAATTAACCCTATTAGGCCAGCTGGTAGCAACTTGTTGTAAAACTATTAGATTCTTGAAAGTTCTGGAACAGAGCACATGTGTTTTATTTGTGTGATGAAAAACGTCGACCGACTACGTTCATGGTATGATAAGGAGGTAGAGCAGCTTCTTCAAACTACTCCAAGTTGTTCTAATTTACTTCATATTTTTAATTGAAATGAATTAAATAGCGCGAAATATGAATGAAGTGTACAAATTTTCTTTCAAACTGTCATTCAATTCCATGACAATTGATTTCTTCCAATTATTGATTTTCAAAGTTGTAATCAACTGGTTCATGGTAGAAAAATATAGGTAGATGCATCAACGCTTAGTAACATTGATATGTCAAAATTTTTAAATGTTTTCTTATACGACGCGAATCGGTGGTTGTTATAATATGAATTTTTCAACAATTTATAGAAATTTCAATAATTTTTCATTCAACATTTTCAATTCCAAAATCAGTTTGACAGTTCATTGTCCCAGCTGCTGTGTCGATGCGACTACCTGTATTCTTCTATCATTCAACTGGTTGCTCTATCTTACCTTTTCATTGTACCCATGGTATAATTAAGAAGGTAATGTCATGCAATCATATGCATGCATTTTTTTCAAAATTGTTCATTTGACAACATCTCATATCCATCTCATGTATATCCAGAAATCAGAGTTGGGAATCTTTTTTTATTCCGTGAAATTTGACAAGGTAAGTTACAGCCTTACATAAAATTCAACGTAACGTACACAAATTTTCAACTATTGTAAAATGTCAAGTCCATATCTTAAAATCCGTCGACCATGGTAGAACTAAGAAGGTAAAGTCATGCAATCATATGTTTACAATTTTTCAAATGTATACATTTGACAACATCTTTGTCAAAATCTAAATTCATAAATCCATTATATACACACAAAATTAAAGATGGGAACTGGTTTTTATGCATTGGAATTTGACAAGGTAAGTTACAGAAAATGCAGAGTTGGGAAAGCTAATTTGAAATGAGGTTACCTTTATTTCATTGTACCATGCCACCGCCATAACACATTGATAATTTTTAACATTCATCCACTTGCTACATTTTTCCAATTCCAAACATTCACACACTTTGTTTTTATTAATCCTATTTTCATCTTTGAAATTTTGTGCGCCCGACGTATTTGGGTAACAATCATTTAAATACATGTGTTTTACTTGTGTGGTGAAAAACGTCGACCGAGTACGTCGAATTTTAGGAAACGCTGTTACAGATAATGCAGAGATGGATATGCTTATTCGAAATGACTTTACTCTCTTGGTTGTTATTTTAAGACAACGTTGCCATTTGTATTATAAAAGAGAACGGCGATAATTCGTCTATCCAGCGGGGTTATAGTGAATGGTATTGTCCTTTGTAGTTTGAAAAGTCAGTGTATACTCAATTTGTGGGAATGCATAGACAAAGTCTACAAAATTCGTTTTGAGGATTAATGTTCAAGCTATTGAGGGCTATTTACTCCTTTCTCTATCCCAAATAGACAAAGGCATTAGAAAATAAAAAAAATTGGGGAAATACGAAGTTAAATTTTAGTGTTTTAACAATAATGAACGGAATTTGCCGGACATGTTTCGATCCCGGAGAAAAAGAGCTTTACAATCTGGTCGATGAAGATGAGACAGATTCGAAGACGCTGCTAGAACTATTAACAGAAGTCGTAAAGTTGGAGGTGAGATAAGATGGAACTAACACGGACGAAATTATTTGACACTACTCTTTCCAGATACCAATAGACGGTCCGCTACCGAAAATGATTTGTGCTGACTGCACGAAAAGTCTTAAAGAGGCGCACAAATTTATAACTCGGGTTCATCATGTAAATGAGAGATATATGAAATTTCTCGCAGATGGCCAGGAAGATCCCCTTTTAGAAAACGATGTGGGGAACAAACTTTCGGACTGTTTGGAAGAGTCTGCGATTGATATGCCGGTTGACCACTATTTGGACGACATTAAATTAGAGGTGGTGGGGGACCAGTATGGTATTTTGCTGTTGGATAAAGATGTTTCCGCTCAGTTGGAGAAAAATGGTAAGCAGTGGGATATTTTCACAAATAAAAACAAACAAACAATCAAAGCGCTTAAATTTTTTAAACAGACAAGGTATCATCGGAGTTCATAAAAAGCTCCAACAGATGCACTCTTAAGGAAATGCAGCATGAAAGTGATGATGAAATATATGAATCTGGAAGAGACAGGTATGGACAAACATATATTATATATAAATTTACAAGAACTACTACTAATCTCCAGCCCCCTGGGTATTGGCGACGAAAGTAATGTCCATGGTTATGGGGAAAACGATTCGTCTGACGATGACTACGAACCCACAAAAAGAATAAAATCAGAAGAGGGATACAGGTGGGAGTTATTGTTTTTCAAATGCTAGGTCGTTTGCTAAATATATTCATATCTATAAAAATTTCGTATACCTTGGTAGGAAACCCTCTTCAAAAAGAACAACAAAGACGAAAAGTCCACTTTTAGACTGCTATAAAAGCATCAAACATATTGGAGATCGATATGGATGTTACATGTGTGACCAAACATTTCCCCAGCGCAAAATCTGCGCTCGACATATTGCTTCAAAACATCTAAAGGAAAGTATATTTCTGTGTGAATACTGCCCTGAAGTATTTAACCGAGAGGACAAGATACGACTGCATGGAAAACGCATGCATCCCGACAAACCCAGGTACAGAATTTGTAGGCTACAGGGTAAATATTGATAAGCTGGATTAAATCTTTATATTAAAAGGATATTGGAAGCAGAGGAGGTGTCACATATTGTCAATAACTCGGAGAAATCGTCCACTGAGGAAGAGGATTACCATCAACGGGATAAAGATTCTAATAAAAGGCCACAAAGGTTTGTTGCCCTTTAAAAAGGTGGTGCATTCTAATAATAATTTTTCAATTAAAACAGGAAACGAAGAGTTGGTCGACAAGCTCCGGATTACTTCGACAAAATACGGCAAGTGAACGACCGATTCGCATGTATTATTTGTGAAAAAACTTTCTCCTTGCGAAAAGACTGTGGCCGACACATAGCATCTATACATTTAAGAGAAATAACCTTTCCATGTGAGTATTGCGGCCAGCATTTCAGCCGTAAAGATAAGGTGAGGCATCACATTAAGCGCATGCATTGCGATAAATCCACGTATCCTAAGAGCAAGCGCAAGGAGTGGATGTTTGGAGACCGGTTATACAGTAGACCAACGGAATGGCTAATGGTGGAGTGCAAACTCTGCAGTATGCGTTTTAGTTCTACTAAAGAATTAAAAAATCACATGGAAACTCACAACAAAATCGATTCTATGATACATCTTCGAATGGACAGTGAGGTTATTACGCATTTGTTCCCGAATGAATTCAATTTGGGCAGCGTTAAAGAATTGATATGTAAGGACATTGAGGAAGGTCGGTGGTTTCAATACTACGCAGTTTTAAATGAATTCTCGTATGAAATGTCTATAAGCGACACTGAACCAGAGGATTTAAACGCGGAAATGACAATGCCTAAATATAAGTGTGAAATATGTGGTCTTGAGTGTCGATTTCAACATGAGGCGTTCAACCACTTAAAACAGGATCATGAAAATGAAGAGATGCCTCTGAAATGTGGGCTATGTAAATTAGATTTTATATCGTCGAAAATGTTTGATCGCCACTCCCGTATTCATTGCCGTAACAGGAGTAAAATTCTACTGTGTACCAAATGTCCTGCCAAATTCGTATGGCCAGAAAACATGAGAAACCATAACTGTGCATCAAAACCCGAGATCAACAGCGAAGACAGGGAGATTTTTAAATGTGATATTTGCAACCGACCATTCGAAGTCAAAACTAAATTTTTGAAACATTTAGAGAGACATGAATTAGAAGATAGCTCAAACAAAGCTATTATTCGATGTGGCCTCTGCCCACAAACATTCGAAAAATTGAAAAATCTCCGAGATCATATAACACAGCACGCGGACGGTGTAACTGGCATCGATTTTCACAATGGCATTTATTTTAAGAGATTTGAACGGTCAAAAACTCACGACCGTGCATTGATACAACAGGAAATACAAAATGCATTCGAGAAATCTCAAATAAGCCGATTCTATAGGGCTTTAGACAAGGATGGAATGGAAATGGACATTATGGATTCCGACAGCGACCCTGAGTCAACATCTTTAATATACAAATGTGAACTATGCCTCACGATGTTTGGAAAGAGGAAGGCTTTGTTGAATCACCAAAACGAACATCATTTAGGAATTCCCTTACCGTATGCGTGCAAGGATTGTACAAAGGAATTCGTAAGTGATGACTTGCTTCAGCAACATAAATTTAGGGAATGCTGGAATGAATTTCGACGAGTTGCGCAGCAATGTGAATACTGCAATGCTCGTTTCATATGGCCGAATAATTTGGTTAAGCACAAGGAAATAAAGGTGAGTGCCATATTGATCAAGCTCAATGACAAACTCATACATTTCTTACTTTTTAGCACAAACATCAGAAACAACCTCGCCCAAAACGTGCTAGCACTTTGAAATGTGAATATTGCGAGAAAGTGTTCATTTGGCCGAAAGACTTGGTTCGACATCGAAAAACGCACACTGAAGGAAAAAAGTTTGGCTGTCCACACTGCAAACGAAGGTTCCAGAGAAAGGATAACCTTCTCGCTCATATACGTACTCACGACGCTAGTAGCATGCCATTGATAACAAACTGCAATAAGGCTATTGAGTACATTCTTCCACACTTAGCTAAACCTCACGGATGCAAGCGTATACGTTGCATGATATGTTTTTCAGAACACGCGCACATTCGCGATTTACGTTCACATTTGCGGTCTCACCAATACGAGATTAACTTCGAAAAACGCAAGGAAAACGAGAGCATAGATCATATATCAAAAAAAATCTATCCCGAAGAAGGGTCAATGTGCGAGGTGGACTTGTTCAGAAAAATTTCCGCTGATATTGCAGCTGAACGGAATTTGGAACGGTTCTACTCAATCACAAACGAATACGGCTATGAAGTTAGTCTGGACAGTTCGGAAACCGAGAGTGGTGACTCGGAGGATGATAGAACCGATGGTAAAAGTAATGATAAGAATGCAATTAGCTTATTAAAATCAAACCGTGTCTACACGTGCGACATTTGCCCGCAGTTAACTTTTGATCGGAAGTACAAGGTTTATGAACATCATCAGAATGAACATAAGTGGGAAGATGGTCGACATATTTGTATTTATTGCAACGCTCGTTTCTTGTCATCACTTATGTTAGAACTACACTACAAAACTCAATGCAAAAACACAAAAAAACGACACACTTGTCGACGTTGTCCTCTTCGTTTCATGTGGAGGGACAACCTTAAGACACACATTGCGATGGAGCATCCGAACGAGGCAGCAAAAGAGGTATTTTTGTATACATGTGTTTTCAAATTTGTGCAAACTATTTAACACAATCTTTCTAAATTTTTTAGGTAGATACAAGCCGCACTTTAATGAAAATTTGTCCACTGTGCCAAACCAAGTTCTGCACCCAAAAAGAACTAACGCAACATATGTCTTTAACTCACCCAGCGGAGTCAGAGCTGCGACACTGCTTCTTATGTCCCAAAACCTTCTATACTTTTGAACACCTTAATGAGCACTTGACACAACAGCATTGTTTAACCCAAGATAGTGTCAATAGCGTCGAAAGCATTGCCCCATTGCTCTGTCCTAACGGGAAGAAGTTTATTAAGTGCAAAATTTGCTCTTCGGATTTCCGAACAATGGCTAATCTTAGTGATCATTATTCGCTTAGTGTATGCACAGTCCAACCATCGGCTACTTCTTATTCGATAACAAACCAAAAGGGATTCGAATTGCACTTAGATTTGGATTCCGAGACGGAAGCAGAAGAAAATACCCACGCTGAAGCCAAAGATATTGACCAACGATACATGTGTTCACTGTGTAACTTGTCTTTTGGGCGCAAATACCAAATGACTCAGCACCAACGATCAATGCACTTCTACGAACATTTGCCTTTGAAATGTGAAAAATGCATTTTTAGAACATCGTGCCAGGTACAAATCAAATGATCAATAGGTTCATATTTTAATCGGCTCTCATTTCAGAAACTTCTAGAATATCACACATCGACTCAGTGTTACAATGTAGACAAACAATATCATTGTAGCATTTGCAAATTCAAGTTTATGTGGCAAGAAAATTTGGAACTTCATCTGGACTTGTTTCATAAAAAAAGTGACGAGCAAGTCGATGATCCAACAACTGCGACAATCGGAAACCATAGTCAGATAGAAACCCATAAAGGTGAAACAAATATATTTGAGTGCATGCAGTGTCATCGTCGTTACAACCGTAGAGATCGTTACAAGGCACATTTTAGAAAATTTCATAACAATGAGACTTTTAGCCAAGATGAATCCCTGAAAATCCGAGAGCGTGGAAAGTCTTCGCCAAATAATAAAACTAAAAACTTTTTATGTGCTTTTTGCGGTGTATCATTTTCAAACAACTCAAATCTTACCGTTCACATGAGACGACATACGGGTGAGAAACCTTTCAAATGCGATCTTTGCGAAATGGCATTTCCGCGATCCTCCGACCTGCAGTCTCATCGACGCACTCATACTGGAGAAAAACCTTACAAATGCTCTCATTGTGAAAAATCGTTTTCAAGACAATATAAATTAAATGTGCATATGCGCATTCATACAGGCGAGCGGCCATATTCTTGCACGTATTGTGCAAAAAGTTTTACTCAGTCAAATGATCTAACTCTACATCATCGTCGACACACCGGGGAAAGACCTTATTTGTGTAACATATGTGGAGAAGGTTTTATTTGTGCAACATCTCTAAAGCAGCACAAAAATTCCAAAGGCCACTATGAAACCGCTGATTCGGAAAATGAACGTGGACAAAATTTATCAAATTTCGAGATGAACTTCTGAGAAGCCACATGACATGAGACCCTGGATAGATATATAGATGTACACTCAATATTACCGACGCCACACCGCCTTTTACCTTTTTAGTTCACAAATTACTAACCACAGTCTTGATCTTAAATCACAAAGAAGCATTGCAGCATAAATAGCATCTACAATGTGCCGAAATTTGCCGATATCACTGCATGAACTAGAGAGTAGTTCTTACTGATTAAGCAAAACGACATTTTACGGGAAGAAAATGGTGTAAAATGTCAAATAAAATCTTACTTGACAAAACAAAACATTTTTAATTTTATACATACACATGCATACAAAGGAATTTAAACAAATATGTGTATCCAAAATGCGAGAAATTAAAATTGAAGCTTCCCCTAAGTTCAATATGCCGCGATACTTTCCGAAAAGAAAACACAATTTACACTTTATTCAGAACTGAGTTAGTATATTAATAGAAAAAATCAGGACCGTTCACAGCTTATTCAAATTGGTTCAAAGATACACTTGCATTTTTAGTTTAAGAAACGAAAGAGCTGGAGTAAATCGAAGCTCAGCATCTTTCCGACGCTGAGAGTGCCGATGTTTTCGAATCATATCCCGGCTCACTTTTGCAGGCGTCTAGTTGCGCGTCGAATTGGTCGGTCTGTTGATACCGAAGATGAATTCTGTGGTATGGCAAAAATATTGTTGGTAATTGTTGTCGAGCCGGTCGGTTGAGGGCTGCTCGCGGAAGGATTATTAAATCTAAAAGCGTTTACGGATCCACTGTTTGCTGTTATATTATTAGACATACTTGGTGAACTTATTGAATGAGCATTATTCGTGGACGAGGAAGCGCTAAAATTAAATGCTGATTTAGTGCCATTGTTCAATGCTATGGCTGACGTTCCCTTTGATTGGGCACTGCCCGATACAGACGCACCGAAATTAAATGCAGGCTGCGAGGTGTTGTTTGTTGTCATACCGGATTTCACCATTGAATTGTTAGATGTTGAAAACGATGAAGAACTTCCAAAGTTGAATGCGGGACTTGTTGCATTATTTGCACTTTTTCCTGATGACTGCGGATTAGATGACGCAGCTCCAAATGCGAAAGTGGTCGTTAAACTCTTACTAGTGGCCGAAGTGATGTTGCTTTGTGAATTTTTTGTATTGACCGCTCCAAAGTTAAACGTGGAACTAGATGAGTTACCAGTTGATGTTCCTCCCGTTTGAGTATTATTCGACGACGATGTTCCAAAATTAAATGTTGTATTAGTTGCGCCACCAGCTGATGTTTGAGGGCTTAGACCTGGAGATGCCGCAAAGTTAAAAGAAGTAGCACCTCCGCCGTTTCCAAATATATTAACAGCAGATTGATTGTTATTGGTGCCTCCTAACAACGTATTAGTGTTTGAAGGCGGCGTGGCATCAAAGCTGGGCTTATTTGCCGTAGAATTATTATTCGGGGCTGAAAATGAGAATCCACCGATATTTGGGGGTGCAGCGGATTTTTGATTTATGGAAGGTGGTGGATTATTGGAACCAAAGGCAAATGCCGATGAAATTTTAGGTAATTCGACAGCTGTTGTACTAGAACCAAATGCAAATCCAGCCGAGTTGGAAGTTGACGATGAAGAGTTTCCAAAAACTGTTGTTAATTTCTGTTCAGAAAGAGAAGTCGAAGGAAACGTATTATGGTTATTTGGCGCTACAGTTGTTGTTACAGAACTGACAAGTTTATTTGTAGCCGCAGACGAACTACTAGTGTTGCCAAATGTATACGTCCCACTTGAAGATGTTTTTGACGTATCAATTCCAAAGGAAAACCCTCCCACAGATTTAGGTGAGTCAGTCTTTTGTGATTTTTCATCTATTTTGCTCCCAGAGGTAAAAACATCTTGTGTAGTATCAGTAGCTTTTGTTGCTCCAAATAATGAAGATTTGGCTTCTGTATTCGGCAATGTGAAGATATTGGGTGTTGTACTGGGTGTGGCTTGTAGGGCGGGAGGATTCTGGTTGCCGGTTGTGGAAGGAGGAGTAATATTTGAATTTAAGGCTGTGCCGAAACTAAATCCTCCACTAACTGGCGATTGAACTACACTGGTCGAAGCCAAGGGGGGGTTGAAAGAGAATTTTTCATTTGTCATCGAAGAAGAAGACGTCGAAGGTACAGTCTTAGAGCCAGAAGGCAGTCCGAAGGAAAAAGGCTCCGAAGAACTCGTGTCGGAAGAAGGTTTTATAAATTCAGAGGGGTTTTTACAGGTATTTTCTGCAAGTTTCGACGTATTGGATGACTCAAGAAGGGTTGTTGCAGCCGTCTTAGTTTCAGGGCCAACTAAGCTAGTTTTAAATGGATCTTGATGAGTTGTATTCGAAACACCCTTTGCAGCTTTTATAGCTCCTGTGGCCGTGGAATTGTTTAACGTGGCAGTAGTATTAGATGTTACCATTTTATTATTACCAGGAAGAATGCCAATAGTTGGGACACTGGATTCTTTACTTGATTTCGCGTTCTGTGTCAATATTATGCTTTGTGGTGTTAATTTTAGTCCAACCAAAGGTGATGGGTTTTTATGTGTTGCTTGCGTGTTTATGCTCTTTGAGGATTCCGGGGTGTCGATTTTTGCGCTGGTATTATTTTGTTTGGGAATTGATGTTTGTATAGAGTCACTGCTCCTAGAAGCCTGTTCCTTTTGAGAAGTGTCAACCTCGTCGTTTATGTCATACAATTCTCCTCTGAGACCAGACAACATTAGTGCTAACTTCGACTTTTGTGTTCGCTCCAATATAGGATTTTTGAGGCCAGAGTTAGAGGTTAGTTTTTTCGGCTTGACAAAATGAATACCCGTACACTCGCTGCCTTCGTCTAAGTTGTCATCGTTTTCTAAGCTGTCCTGTGATTTTTCAATATTGGTGTCGTAATTTTTATTGAACAGAGTAAGACGAGGCTTTTGTACCGCCTGATATGTCTCCGTTGGAGTAATACCTTCCGATTGGCTTCGTTGCGGCACAGTTCCGCATGTCGCCTGGGCTATTGAAATGCTAGAAATGTTCTTTTCGCTCTGTCTATTTGCACAATTATCCTGTATTGAATGGTCGTTTCGTTTAGGTATTTTAAGTTTCGGTGTTTCGTAGGATTCTAAATATGCTGGCATTGTCTGATTAAGTTGATAGGAAGGTCTCTTGATCTCTTTGGATTTTCGTTTTGAGCTTGAACTTAACGAACTGGTTATGTCATTGTTGTAACTGCATATACGTTTTTTTATTTGTTCTGGTGATTTGTTAGAGTCCACGTATTTAAAAGAGGTATTAACATTTACTTTGTCCTGTAAGTTTGAATCTCGCTGTCTTTTAAAGTTAGCAGCGGGCGTTGCGATATTTACAACGTTGGTACCAGAATCTAATAAATCAGTACCCACACGATTCTTTTTAGTCATTTCCGAGCCGCTTGAATCCTTAAAATACAAAAACATTAAACAGTAAAGTGCAGAAGTTTCCGAAAGTAATATTTTTAATGTTAGATATTGACTAAATATTTATGTTCAACACGAAATTCATTATTATTTTAGGTTCTTATATTACAAATTCAATGATTTTAAATAACACGGTATGTTTTACCATCAATCTCAATCTCTCAAGATAAAATAATGCTGAAATCAGTTCCATATCTGTTATAGGTTTACTTGAAAACATAGGTATTTAAACGTTTTAAAAAGAAAAAGCACCACAAAAATGTCCCTTGATTTTGGTGGTTTTACAGATTGTTCAAGAGACCACCAAGATTAAATACTTACGTCGCTATTTATTCTTTTTCGGGAAATCTCTTTCAGCACGTCTAGAACACTGCGTGTTGGCGCCATATCATTTTCTGTTGGTGGAGGATGTATAATTGGCCTGTTTTCACTTGATATGTCTTCATCGCTTTTGTGTAGCCCCACTACAGAATTCGACCGCAAAAGTCCTGATAATGTACTGCCGCTAAAGACTGAAGTGTCTGTATATGTGACTAAATTAAAATCTAGAGCAAATAATTCATGACATAAATTACCAGGTGGTACTATTCGCGTCATAGACACGCATTGTTTGGTAGCTCGAAAAGGCAATTCAGTCTTGCGGAGAGTTACAATTGGAAATTGTCCCGGCTTTGTGTACAGGCTATTAGTCGACATACTCCGGTTAAGGCGGCTCTCATTTTCGTGGTACTTGACTATCCTTGAAGCCAATCCTTTGCTTTGGACGTCGGCAAAAATCCTCGGCTCGATTTTGCTAACAACAGTGCTATCTAAATTAACTAAGTTAATGCTGGAATTGCAACGTTGTCTGCTGTTGGAAAAGTGCGATGAGCCCCATCTGAAACTACAACAAAAAGTTTACTATTCTTCTATTTTATTAAGTGTTTCTTTGGTCACAACCTATTTCCTGTATTATTATTTAATTTTGTCGACTCTGCTGATGGCAGACTATAGCGTCCTTCGTCAGCCATTCCCTCAACATTTGGAACCAGCAAACGATTTGAAATCGGAGAATAATTATAAATTTCCAACACGGTGTGACACACTGCAATATAAAAGCCTGAGCTAGCAGTCAGCGTTAAACGACGCCGTCAAATTCGATGTTTCGGACGAATCGCGGTAAACCATATGCCGCTTTAATCACGATGAATTGATAGCACAGTTCTCGGAATGAACTCTAGCATGGGCCAAGTATATGGTAGAAGAATACAGGTAGTTGCTTCGACACAGCTGCTGGGATAATAAACTGTCAAACCGATTTTGGAATTGAAAATGTTGAATGAAAAATTATTTAAACTTGCAAACATTTTTGAGAAATGCATATTGATACAGCCTCCGATTTGCATCGTATAAGAAAATATATAAAAATGTACTTATTTTTGACAAAACAATTTTAAAATGTTGGCATATCAATGTTCGCAAGCGTTGATGCATCTACCTATATTCTTCTACCATGGGCCAAGTATAAACGTGAAGGTACATAAAAAGCGTAAACAAATTTTGACCTTACATTTGGTTTTTGAAATTTGTAGTAACACCTTGTTATGGCGCCATGAACCCTAGAAATCAATATGAATCACAACCATAGACAAATAAATATATAGACAACGGAAAGTTAGTGTTGTTTCTACATAGGTGGCACTCAGCACGCGTTGCATACTAAACATTCTGATTACGAAGGTCAACCTACTCGACTTCATCGCTTTTCAAGAACTTCACTTGATTATCCCCATATTTGTCGATGTAATCGCGTAATTTTTACTTGTCACTGTTAAATCTCCCTAAGTTGCTGATATTTTAAACATTTTAGAATTGAGTGATTCAATATTTTTACCCATACCCGTCATTTATATATGTCACAGCCATATAACATAACAAATAAATAGACAAAGGAGTTTTGGTTTTGTCTTTTTATCCAGTAGCCCTATTTTTTAACTTTAAAAAAACTTTATTTTACTAAAAGAGTTCATTGGTTTGTTTTTATTACAATAACTAAAGAAATGTTAACAACTTTTCATCGTGGAAGAATATAGGTTGATGCATCAACACTGTGGAAAGTTTATGTCAAAAATATATATAAATATTTTCTAATACGACGCTGTTCAAAAGGTAAGTTGAGGGCAGAAAGAAATAAATACATGGTACAATGATATCAAGGTAGGGCTATGATACCATATGATTTCAATTTTTTTATTTTCTTGGCTTAATATGTCATCTTTATTTGTTTTTGTATGTGTTTTCTTGTCAATAACAAAAAAATTGTTCAGAAAATATTCAAATTCGGGTGTTTTCAAAATGTTTATTTCATCGTATGCATCGACAAAATCTAGAGTTTTTGTAGCGAAATAATCCTTTAGAGATATATAGAACCTGGTTTTGAAAAGAAGTGTTGACCTTTCATTAAGTTTTCGCGGTTTTCAATTATTTATTCAAAATAAATGCAAAAAGTTGTTTGATTTTGTTATTGTTTTGGTACTATTTCTGACATTACAAGCCAAACAGGTAGACCTCTATACTTGCAATTTTTTCAAAGTTGACCTACCTTCTCTTCATTGTACCATGAATAAATAGATTCAGCTTTGTGGAACAACCCCAACATTCAATTCATGTTTTGTGATTTCCAATAAAATTTTTGTTAAAAAAATGCTTATTTCAAAGTCTATTTGACGCTATAAGAATTGAATTTTTCCTAGTTTCTTAATTAAGCCATGGTCACAATTACAGAAATTAGAGCAAAGCTACCTCCTAAAAACCATTTTTTCTTTTGGTGGCCTTATTCTGACAAAACATATACAAAGTTTGTAAATGAGTGTGTTGTTTCAAATAAAAAGTAAATAATTTGAAATTATTTCAAATTTAGATGCAACATAAAAATGTATTCTTTACGATAACAGACAAAAACATGTCCAACTTGGTATAAAGAATATTGATCTTCCATCTTGGATTAAATTTTTCGAAAAAAAAAAAACAAAACTTTCCCGCAATATATTAATTTTGCGGAATAAATGTGAAATAAACAAAACCAATTGTTGCATGTTTAAAAGTACATTTGACATATTAAGGCTCCACTACTGAGTTGCATAATTCCCAGTTTCTTTGAAGTTGAACGACTTTCTCTTGGACCATGGTTGCAACTGGATTTGTAATTATTTCACATTATTTTTTTTTTGCTTTCTTCTGGAACCTGCAAGAATCTACTATTCTATACTACTCATGATGCTACTATTTCATATCATAAAGGGAAAATCGGTTATCGTAGTAAAATCATTTACATTCTTGCAGTGCTGGAACAGACCAAAAATATTTAACGTCCCCATTATGGTATAATGTTTGGTACGTCATTATTACCAAAATACGCGAGACCCATATCTTAAAATCGATTAACTAATAACATTTTAAAATTCAAATAATTGTTACATTTTCCAATTACAAACATTCCATTTTTTTGTATTAATCACTTCTATTTTCAACAAAAAAAAAAAGAATTTTTTTAAATGCTAGCGTTGAAATTTCGTACACTCGACTTTTTTCAGTAATTTTCATATAAAACCGTGTGTTTAACTTGTGTGATGAAAAACGTCGACCGAGTACGTCAAGTTTTAGATAACGCTGTGCCTGCTCTCTGTCAGAATCATTTACAATGCCAAATATTTGTAAAATAATGAGAACTATGACTCATGTTGGAATAGTAATCAAAATTGTGAAATGCATCATTGAAGAAATATCGTAGCAGTCTATTAAACTCTCGACGCCATGTCCATGTCTACGTATGACATTAACTTGGAAAATTTCTTGAAGAATGTATATAGACATTTTCTTTTCTTCTCTACAATAAGGATAACCAAATTCGTCAGCAGCATGCCTTGGCTAGTAGTAAATAAAAATGAAGGCAGTCGATTTTAATATTTTTTAATTATTTGCTATAAAAACAATTGATTCTTTAAATGTTTTCTTCTTTTACGATTGCCCAGCCGTTTATTATACCCTACACCACATAGTGGTAAGGGTATTATGTCTTTGTTTGTAACATGGAGAAGGAAGCGAAATAGACCCATGGTTATTGTGCACCAATCGTCTAATATTTGCCCAAATGGGATGGAATTTGACACTTATGACCGAATTGAGTCTAGAAGCTAGTATGTCAAATTTGGTGAAGATCCGTTCAGATATAGCTATATTGCTCACCCGATTTGTTATATTTGTTACCCACAGCCGTAATATGCACTCCGAAATATATCAAGTACAACTTAGAAATATCTTTGCCAAATTTTATCGAGATCGGTTCAGAAATTGGATGTAGTTGCCACATATATCTTTATACGATTTCAAATTAATTGCACACCAAATGGGCAATACACTTCCGAATTTAAAAGATATAAATGCTTCGGCATATTTAGTCCTTTAAACTTTAAATTATAATTATAATCATAGCGTGTATGATGCTAGTATGAGCTTTGAAATATCCTTAAATATTTAGAATATGTACATTATTGTGAATGCAGATATTTTTAATCAGCGAATGCTTACTGAATCAATTTTCCAGTAAGATTTTGTAAACTCAAAAACTACGTTTACATACTAAATTTCCAACTGGGTTAACCTCGATATTTGGCCAATCACCATAAAGCGGACTATAAAATATACATTAATAATGTTGAGAATGGTCAATTACCACGGTTTATTTAGGAAGAGATTTTGTATGCACACGTACTTATATACTATTAAATACATAGACGACGTAAATATCGAAAAAAAAATCGAATCAGCGGATGTCGTCTATGTCGTTTCATGGGTATGAGTGAGAATATTGAAGTCGTTCAATTGCAAAACGTTTAACGAAACGTCATGACATCGAAAAATACGGGAATAATAATGTAAAATTCTTTATAAACAATATTCAAAATCGTGCTTACAGCCACATTTGTAAAAAACAAAACCCACTTTCCGTTGTCTATATTCGTATTTCTTTTTGCCCTCAACTTAACTTTTGAACAGCGTCGTATAAGAAAATTTTTAAAAATACATTTGTTTTTGCGGATTTGTGTTAAATATTTTTGACATAAACTTTCCACAGTGTTGATGCATCAACATATATATATATATATATATATTACCAAAATACGCGAGACCCATATCTTAAAATCGATTAACTAATAACATTTTAAAATTCAAATAATTGTTACATTTTCCAATTACAAACATTCCATTTTTTTGTATTAATCACTTCTATTTTCAACAAAAAAAAGAAATTTTTTAAATGCTAGCGTTGAAATTTCGTACACTCGACTTTTTTCAGTAATTTTCATATAAAACCGTGTGTTTAACTTGTGTGATGAAAAACGTCGACCGAGTACGTCAAGTTTTAGATAACGCTGTGCCTGCTCTCTGTCAGAATCATTTACAATGCCAAATATTTGTAAAATAATGAGAACTATGACTCATGTTGGAATAGTAATCAAAATTGTGAAATGCATCATTGAAGAAATATCGTAGCAGTCTATTAAACTCTCGACGCCATGTCCATGTCTACGTATGACATTAACTTGGAAAATTTCTTGAAGAATGTATATAGACATTTTCTTTTCTTCTCTACAATAAGGATAACCAAATTCGTCAGCAGCATGCCTTGGCTAGTAGTAAATAAAAATGAAGGCAGGCGATTTTAATATTTTTTAATTATTTGCTATAAAAACAATTGATTCTTTAAATGTTTTCTTCTTTTACGATTGCCCAGCCGTTTATTATACCCTACACCACATAGTGGTAAGGGTATTATGTCTTTGTTTGTAACATGGAGAAGGAAGCGAAATAGACCCATGGTTATTGTGCACCAATCGTCTAATATTTGCCCAAATGGGATGGAATTTGACACTTATGACCGAATTGAGTCTAGAAGCTAGTATGTCAAATTTGGTGAAGATCCGTTCAGATATAGCTATAGCACCCATATATATTGCTCACCCGATTTGTTATATTTGTTACCCACAGCCGTAATATGCACTCCGAAATATATCAAGTACAACTTAGAAATATCTTTGCCAAATTTTATCGAGATCGGTTCAGAAATTGGATGTAGTTGCCACATATATCTTTATACGATTTCAAATTAATTGTACACCAAATGGGCAATACACTTCCGAATTTAAAAGATATAAATGCTTCGGCATATTTAGTCCTTTAAACTTTAAATTATAATTATAATCATAGCGTGTATGATGCTAGTATGAGCTTTGAAATATCCTTAAATATTTAGAATATGTACATTATTGTGAATGCAGATATTTTTAATCAGCGAATGCTTACTGAATCAATTTTCCAGTAAGATTTTGTAAACTCAAAAACTACGTTTACATACTAAATTTCCAACTGGGTTAACCTCGATATTTGGCCAATCACCATAAAGCGGACTATAAAATATACATTAATAATGTTGAGAATGGTCAATTACCACGGTTTATTTAGGAAGAGATTTTGTATGCACACGTACTTATATACTATTAAATACATAGACGACGTAAATATCGAAAAAAAATCGAATCAGCGGATGTCGTCTATGTCGTTTCATGGGTATGAGTGAGAATATTGAAGTCGTTCAATTGCAAAACGTTTAACGAAACGTCATGACATCGAAAAATACGGGAATAATAATGTAAAATTCTTTATAAACAATATTCAAAATCGTGCTTACAGCCACATTTGTAAAAAACAAAACCCACTTTCCGTTGTCTATATTCGTATTTCTTTTTGCCCTCAACTTAACTTTTGAACAGCGTCGTATAAGAAAATTTTTAAAAATACATTTGTTTTTGCGGATTTGTGTTAAATATTTTTGACATAAACTTTCCACAGTGTTGATGCATCAACATATATATATATATATATATATATATATATATATATATATATATATATATATATATATATATATATATATATATATATATATATATATATATATATATATATATATATATATATATATGTTCAGCTCCGATGTAACGGTACCTCCCTATTAACGGTGTTTTCATAAATTTACCTACATTATTCACCGCTTATTTCAAGTTTCGAATTTCGAAAAAAATGCAAATGGCTTATGACAACAACGTAGGTCCACGTCGTATAAACCCCAACATAACGGCTATATTCGGTACTTTTTAAAATTTTAATAAAATTTTTAACGGTTTTATTCAAAGTTCGGCCCCGACGAACTTACTGCTTTTTAACTTGTTTACATTACACACGTTCGATAAATCATTAAAAAAAGTAAGTTCAAATCTTGGTACAATGAAATCAAGGTAGGACACTGAAACCAATCCATTTCAATTTTTAAATTGCCTGACTTAACATGCCAAATTACTTCGTCCATATGTGTGCTCTTTTCAATCATATGAAAACTGTTGAAAAAATATTCAAATTCAGTTGTACTAAAAATGCGTATGCGTATGTTTTTGTAGCGATATAAATCTTCAGAGAAATATAGAACATAATTTTGAAAATATATGTTGACCTTTCATTCTATTTTCGCGTGTTTTGCTTATATATTCAAAATCAATGCAACGAGTTGTTTTATTAATTTGATAAAAAAAACAACATGCTGAATTTGGTTTAATAGTAGCTGTGATTATACAATCCATACATGTAGGCCCATTTACTTGCAACATTGTCCAACTTAGCATACCTTCTCTTCATTGCACCATGGTTCAAATTATGGGATTTCAAATTTTAAATAATTTAATTAATTTATTTAACACTGTACGCCGTTTCTAGTTTTATTGAACTCATGTAAAAAAATTATAATTAGTTGTTGTGAGGTTAGATTCGAGTATTATTTGGCTTATATAATAGTATAAAATATTTGTATAAAAGGACAATGAAGTAAACAATAACCGTTAGTGAAATAACAACCGACTTGCGTAATGGTGGAACTAATCCTAAGTAATTACATGTGTATGTTAAGCTAGTTTACGTTTTAGGGTATAGTTATGTTAGAAACAGGTCGAGAGCTCCATGGTCGCCGATGTCGTCCGGGTGGAATAGGTCGAAGGATTCAAAGTTCATTAAAGGAGCTAGGCAGGGCGAATTTGAGCAGGGCACGCGGATTGGTGAGAATGCTACAGAATCGGTGGGCGGTTCCATTAAACGTAAGCTGAGTTCAAGTGGATTCTCTAAAGAGGGCATGTCGCTGGGCGAACATTCAAAAAGATCGTTTGGCATTGAAGGTACGTTGCGACTGGAGCGCAGTGGGCTAGGCCATCGTTCCGAGGGATTCAGTGATTCCCCATCTGATTCCAACATAAAAGTACTTAAATCGGACGTGGACTTCCGACAGTGGGAGCTATTGCAATTGTGGTCCATGATGTTGCTTTCAAAACCATGCGAATAATTTGAACTCGGAGAAGCTGAAGACTCGTAGGAGGGTGATAGGGAGGCATAAGCTGATGAGCTATTCGAGGCGGGTGATGTTTCAAAACGAGAGTGGTTAAGCGTCGATTCGCTTTCATCATACTGAATAAGTTTTCCTTTCTTCCCGCGTCTCTTTCCCACTACCGAACTTGTTTTTGCAGCATTTGGCTTTTGGTCTTCACTTTTTTCTCGTTGCCGCCGTTTACTGTCGTTTGGTGCCTTGTCGCTAGGCCTATAAGATATTGAGTCGCAGATCGAGCGATAATCAGGTCGCTGTGGATCGAGCAGGGCTTCCGACAGTACCTTGATGTACTTCATAGCCAGTCGTAGTGTTGTAATTTTTGTCAGTTTTTCGCTACTTGGGCCTACATCCTCGCTGCTGATGCAAGCTGGCACACAGTGCCTCAGGTTTTCAAATGCTGAATTGATTTCCCTCATTCTTGTCCGTTCCCTGGCATTTGCGGTCTTCCGTCGGTACTTGCTTAGAGGTGCTGCTTTCGTCTTTAATTTGGCATTGGCTCCAGCCGATGTCTTCTGGCAAAGAAATATGTTGTGGAGACACTCGCTGGAGTTATCACTGTTATATCCTGGCGACTTGGTGTTTGCTCCCTGCCTCAGTCTCCTCTTCTCTCTCTGTCGCAAGGAGTACTTTTCGCAGTCCATGTTTTCCTTATTGACGTATGTACCTGTAAAATTGAGAAGACGAATTATAGGAATTAAAATACAGATTGCCGCCGAAGGATTTATTAGCCAATATAAATTATATTAATTGATTGTCGTCTGCGTCAATCCGATTGGCTACCCACAAACTCATAGCATTCTCGGGAATACTCGGAACTGCTATTGATATAAGGTTCATTCTTTAGATAGGTATGATTGATTATTTTATTCTTCCTCAGATACTATATTTTAGTCAAATTTTAACGTCTTAAATTAAAAAAAAAGTATTAGGAGAATGATTGTTTTAATTGGCCTACCATCATCAGATAAACATCTTCTGCTGTACGTTGTTGTAATAATTAACACTTTTGTTGTCCCTTACATTATGAGGTTTTCTAACAAAAAAGTACAAACGTAACGTTAACTACTGAATTGGGTTGAGAAGGACCAAAAACAGAAACATTTCCTGAATTTGCACTTACTCTACAGACCACAATCACATACCAAAAGACGCGGAATTTATGGTCAAATTACGAAGATTTCTATGAAACCGTGAATATTTTTAATACCGAAAAAGTCAGAAACACATTAAAAGATCCCTTGTGACCATTACAGTGAGGTTGATAGCCAAGATATCGGATATGTAGCGAAATAGGTACAATCCATATGTAAAAGAAATTGATGTTAGTTATTCCGCTTATAAGTCAATAACCGCTGGACGGATTTTGAGAATTTTCATCAATTTTGCCAGAAAAGGCTAAAACCTAAGATAATCCCTACAAATCTGTCAAAAAAGTTAGTATTTTTTGTTAAATTTTTTGTCATGCAATTACAATGCATGTAATTTTGCAATTACAATGCAAAATGGATTTGAAACTCAGGGGCTTGCAACATAGTATAGTGTTGTTGGGTATCACAGGGTCGGCCCCGAACGACTATAGCACCTTTCCCACCAATCGACTTCATCGTTCGTATCTTAAATGCTGAAACCCTCATTTGTAATTGTTTCATTCCCTCATGCTATATCCTCTGCGTATTAAGGTTTTCAATTGTTAACTATTGGTTTAAGAAGTGGCTTTATTTAAATGTCAAAATCTATCTTAATCCACTTAAATGCTCAAGCAAGTCTTTCGATACGGGATCTGAAATCATAATTCGAGGAGTTAAGACCGGTCATCAAATTCGATTTATCGACGATATACCCTACAATATGGTGTAGGATACGAAAAGAAGTCCGTATCTGTGTACCCCACATAAGTTGCGTTTTAGTGACGCCATATAATTTGTGGGAACAACTTAAAAAATAATACTATTGTTGTTGTGGAGAAATCAATAATAATAAATAACAGTCGGTAGCTTGTTTTCTGCTCCATACCATGCACTCCCACCTACAAACAACTGTTTAACCCCAGTGTTTTAAATGTTCCTCCCACCATAGTCCCCGAATGCCTACGGGTTTTGGTGGTACGTTGCAACCAATTCAAAGAGAGTAGGCAGAAGGCATGCGTTGGCATGTGGGTCAACTCATCCCACATCGATCACTATTATTTTTTAATTGTCGAGTTAGATGATCACACCCACGCAATATTCGGTGGTAAATGAAGCTTGAAATGTCTGGTCGTAACAAAACCCTAGGGAAATGTGCATGTGTGTATGCACACATTCCATATGGGGTTCATGAAGCTATGGCTTCGCCGGAGCACCGGAAATAATACGGTTGTGTTGGGTCACTGGCGACATCAGAGGTGCGCTATTTTTCGAAATTTAATGGGCCGTGTTCGCGGGTTTTTGCAGTAACTATGGCTGGATGTTCATAATCATATTTACATGCATACAGAAATACAAATATAACGTTACTATGGAAGATGTACTACTGTCATTGCGACTAATCTTCCGTGGTGCGAAAACATTTTCCGACAGCTTTTAACTCTTCTTTACAACTGTAATAAGGAGATTGGAAATGGAGTTGAACTACCAATACCCAGATACCCATACTCCATTCGGTAACATGCTTATTGTATGAATACAAAGCAGTTTAAAGGGGAAATAGCTGGTGCGCTTCGCTGTCCCTTTTGATTTTATGTACATTCAAAATATTAAATACGAATATTTGTTGGTTAAAAAAAAAAACAATCTAAACCGATTTCAATACAAATGTGTGTTCGTTTTAAATTCCATCACATATGGGAGATATATCCAAACTGAACCGATTTCAATATAATTTAGCAAATTTATTTTTATTTCAAATTCCGTTATGCAATCCAAATTTGGAGACTGTATCTGGATGATTGAATAAGTAAAAAATGTATCAAGTTCGGCAGGGTCTATATTTTTCTACCCTCCACAATTTGAAAAGAAACTTATGTAAAAATAGGTCTGTAAATGCAGATATTCCAATATTCGGCGGTGTGTGTCACTTCTTGTTTCTATATAAGAAGAAGAATCCATTGCGGAATCCCAATGTTGAATTTTTAGTAAATCTGTTAAAAAATCGTAAAGTACCAAATATAAGGAAGTACCTTTGTATGGGCACCATAGGAAAATGTGGACCTTTAAAGGCAATGTTCTGCAGGAGGTAGAGCTTATTATTGACAAAATATCAAACATTTGGGTATCTTTACATGGGGGTATATTTAAACGCTTATATAGACAATGTTCTACCACAGGAGGTAGAACATATTTTGAACTCTAAACACCGAATTTAAAACTTTTCTCTTAGAAAGTGTCACCAAAATTGTCAAAATATGGCATATCGGAGGTACCTTTATATGGGGGCTTTAGGAAAACGTAGAACTATATTGACAACATTGTGCCACATGAGGTAGTACCCATTACAACCTCAATATACCGAGTTTTAAAATATTCCGTTAGAAAGTGTGGCTAAAATCGTCAAAATACCGAATATGGGGGGGGGGGGGTATAATTATATGGAGGCTATATTAAAATTTTGACGTTGGACAGACGGATGGGCACGGCTAAAGCGACTTAGGTTTTTACTCTGATCAAGATTATGTATACTTTGTTGGGTCTTAAGTGAAGATTTCGATGAGTTACAAACGGAATGATAAACTTAACATACCTTCCATACTATGTATGTGGAGGGTACAAAAACGTCAAAAAAATAGCAAAGCAGTTTAAACCCATTTTTTGGCAGTGGTTTGAATTTTGAATTGCTTTTGCGACAAGACATGTCGTTGCCGAATCTGTTATTTATCAACATTACGTTCCTTATAAGGAGAAATTACACACGTAGGTACATATGAATGCCTGAATGACATTTGAACACGAGTAAACGTCGCATGTGGGTACACTGGGAACACAATCTCCACTCGATACTGTTGGCGAGGGAGATCGGCCAAGTTTTGTTAGTTTCTAGTTTCCCATGGAATTTTCTAAGTAGTCGGCTACGTTTTTGATTGTTTTAATTTTCGGCTGCGAGGGAGATGTAATCGATGCTGTACTGGCATGACATTCAGAAGTGTAATTCATTATTTGTTGTGTGTGTAATTCTCTTCTTGTTCGAATGCTAGATCACCGCTGAGGTTTGTGAATATAAAGGAACCCGACATACGTATGTACAAGTCGGAGGGGAACGGCGTAAACCTTCGGTTAGTTGTGCTACACAGGTGCCGAGTTTGTGTGTGTGTGTTTGGACAACACAGTCTTAGCTCGTGCATCCTTGACTGACTTTGGCCAAAGATGGCATTTCATGTGCTACTGGTTATAACAGATTACTGGTCAATATGTGGCAATCGACAAGTGATTGAATCTGTCGGTACATTGATTGGCTAGTAGTTGGCAAGTCTTGGCGGCAACAATCACATAGCTGTATCTGTTTGTGTCCGATCAATAATATTTGGCATTTCGCTTTTAATGGCAGCACCAGGAAAGTCAAGTCACTTCTCCTTATATAGTCTGAAACTTCATTTAAGATCGGTTAAAAGAAACTTTGCCACACAATTTGGAAGCTCCAGACGAGTGATAAGAGCATTTTGTGCGCCGAATTTTAATCGCACTTCAAGGTAAATTGCGCCTTCCTTGTCGAGACCTACACATTCGATCAACATTTCGTGGGGATCCGATTTGAACTGCGATCTATATTGTATAATTGCAAGGTTTTGACGATGAACTCGTCAAGACGTTATGTTTGCTGGGTCTACGATCCATTGCAATGGGACTTTATGTCGGCATAATTATACCAAACATGGGATTCCCGATTCTGCATTCCTCGTTGCGGGAACACTTTCTCGAACTCTAAAATTGATAACTTTTGCAATTATCTCGGGAAATGAATTGAACAGATCCCTCTAGATAATGCAAAAAGTGAAAAAATTAACACATTCCTTAAATTTTGTGATTTTTAGAATGTCCTTGAAACAAATGTCTTTAAACTAAAAATTCACGTCTATTGTCCAGAAAGATTTTGCAACCGTCTATATTTTGCAACCGTCTATATTATCATAGTTTTCAAAAATTTAGACCTTCTTGAGGGAGGTAACAGGTATGTGTTCCTTATTTAAGGCCATTTATGTCCGAGTTCACGAGAGATGCAACGAACGACATTTAACAAGTTAAAACACAGTATTGAGAAATTTTCAAAAAATAAAATCCTTAAACAATTCTGTTAAAATTTTAAAAATTATATTGGGGTCTATACGTCGGCATTGTTTGTCATAAGCCATTACCATATTCAAATTCGAAACTTAAAATAAACGGTGAATAACGTAGCTAAAATCATCAAAATATCTTATATCGGGAGGTTCCGTTATATCGGAGCTGTGCGAAGACCTGGACCATCATAGACAATTTTCCGTCATTACGAACTTCAAATACGACATCTCAAACAATTTCGGTCGGAATTGTACCTAAACTCTATACGAAGACGTAGACCTGCACAGACAATTTTCTGTCATATGCTGTAGTATCCATTACGAACTTCAAATACCAAATTTGAAACAATTTCGATTAATAATGTCGCTAAAATCATCAAAATACCGAATATCGAGAGGCACCGATATAGACGGACGGACGTTTTTTTCTAAAGCGTTTTAGAATTTTACGCTGATCAAGAATATATATACTTTGTTGGGTCTGACATGAGTATTTCGAGGAGTTACAAACGGAATGATAAAGTTAATATACCGTCCATAGTATGGTGGAGGGTATAAAAACATAAAATACTCAGAATTTGTTTTTTTACCATGGAGTTGAAATTGTCTCCAGGCCTCCAAGTGACTCCCTTTGGGCGACACTAAGAAATAGCAGGGGTAGCTGCGGCTGTTAGACGAGGTGCGTTTAAATTCTTAGGACTGCATTTTAGTGGGGGTCTAGGCGAGAGCTTCAGTTGCTATAATGCGTCCTCCCACAGGTTGCTGTTTGGTCAATCACACACAATTTACCAGAACATTTTGATGGCGGTGCTGGCTTTGCGTTCTCAGATCCCCAGGCGAGATTACCTTTAAAATTGTGGGAATGATAGGAATATGGTGTCCGTCCAATTATCGAGGTTGTTGTTGTAAATAGCGAGGTATTATCATTTGTTGTTTTGTATTGCTCCCACAAATGCTAAACACTGTGTGGTTGTTCACTGCAGCACGTTGATTTGTTTTGCGAGTCCACTTCTAAAAATAGGACTGTTACGCGTCACACGGCGTCGAATGAATAAGAGAAGGTGCGTGGAATATGGAGTGGAGCGTACGACAAGCGACGGCCAGCTAGAGATTATTTTTCACTTTAGTATATATCTCACATGTGCTGTGCGCTCAAAGAGTATTCTTGATGGAAACGCGTCCGAATGCGAGGTTTGTCGAATTTGCACTGAATAAAATTGATTGTTGTTGATATCATCGAGCAATGAAAATAAGCATCGAATGGAGCAGCGGCGCGTAGCACGTTGTTCGGTCGCAGCTGAGGCGACATCAAACGATACCAACCAGTATCTCACACTCGTGACGCCACGCTGAGCATGTGTTGGTGAGGGGAATTTCGTCTACTTATCCAAATATCCAAACAAAACATCCAACCGCTGATGATGTCTTACTCTTGCGAGTGTGAGTGGTTGCCACTATCTGATCAGCCGGCCTCTGTTGGTGTGACGTAGTATGCAGAGGCGCAATTTTGTTGCCTTCGACAATACCATTGCCATATTTGTTCATTTATTTTATCGGAGTTTGAACCCAACAAACCACAGCCTTGAATTGCTGCAAATATTGTTCAAGTCAACGAGAGAGTAATATTTGAGTATTGAGACATTTTACTCACGCACACAATATAGCAGCACCTCTTAAAGGAGGGCAGTGTTGCTACTTTTACATATCAGTTCCAGCATAGTACAACCCGAAAGGTAGCTTAACCTCGAGGGAGACGGGAATTTTTAACTCAACTCAAGGAGGATCAACAACTCTGCATTGGTCGAAATCCATCATGGAAGATTTCGTTTTTTAAATAATATCATGGAGCCCTGCCCACATGTTACTCTTAGGTTTTTGCCCCATATTTACGCACTCGGTCGCGTTGTTAGGTATTCAAAGCAATTTCGCTAAATATAATCCAATGGTTATCCAAAATGCTAGACTTCTTCCCTGTCCTTAACTCTCTTCTCATGCAAAACTCCGTGTTGATTGGTTTTCAATTGTGACCTGTTGAGCGACTGCAAAATCAGGAAATGTTATTTTTTGTCGATTTGTACATCTTCAAATAACAATATGCTTCAATTCTGACCCTAACCCTACCCCAATTCAAAATTTCGTGTAGATCGGACGATTATTGAAACCTCACATAGTGTTGTAGGGTGTCGAAAATCTTTACAAAATTCATAATTCAAAATTGTAAGTCAAATTGAAAAAAATAGCATGCGATAAAAAAATTAAAAAAAATCACTTTTTATTGACATATTTTTACGAGATTTTCTTAGATTTTAACCTTTTCTGGCAAAACGCCATTCCGAATCGATGAGAATTGTGAAAGTCAATTCAGCCGTTCATGACTTATACGCGGGAAAACTAAGATATATTTCTTGAAAATATACATTGTACCTATTTTGCTATAAATCCGATATCTTGGCTATCAGAATCGTTGTAATAGCCACAAGTGATCTTTTAGAGTATTTGTGAGTTTTCCGGGATTAAAAACATTCACTGTTTAGTGGAAATTTTCGTATTTTTTGATATAAAATATATAAATACATGTGTTCAACTTGAGTGGTGAAAATCGTCGAAAAACGTAGCGCTGTCACATCGAAAATATGAATTTCTATTGCAATCGATTTAGAAATCTTTTTTAGAAATAATTGTTTCCTCTATTATTAAAAACAGAAACCACATACATTTACAAACTGCACATATGTTTTGACAGAATAGGGACATCGAAATGAAAAGAAATATAAAATCTACCTCCTGTCATTGTTCCATGTGTCCGTTCGTGTGAAACTTTGACTAACAAAAGAAAATCAAAACGAAAAAATAAAATATATTATTCATATACCTTCCTCGTCTACGGGGTGCACGGACATTGAAACGTCGCTGCTAGGTGTTGGTAACTGATTTGTTGGTAACTGTTTTCAAGTGTTGCGGAAGGCAACAGCCGACTTTGCGACAAGAATTGGTTGTAATTAGGTTATCGGGGATCTCGTTGTGTGGTAGACTTCCGAAGTTAAAATTGATTGGAATTAGGCTATCGGGGATCTCATTGTGTGGTAGACCTCCGCAGTTAAAATTGGCAATAGAAGTACACGATTTGAAATTGTCCACCCATCTCTCAAAACACCCATTAAAGATGGCCGAAATTTCCACCTTAATTCAATTGCATGCTTTCATTTTCATTTGATCAAGTAAATGGGGGGGGGGGGGGGGGGAGAGGAGCGGGGAAGCAAGTATTCTTCCTCTGCCACTTATATTTGGGCACAATGTTATTTCCTTTCTGTAGCTAAAAACTGTCTTTAAAACATATAACCAATTCGATATTGTTCATTGGCCGTACGAAACTTGGCAACAATTTTAACGTATCTTCTGGCGGTTTGAATTTCCTCTGAATAGGCTTACTGGGTTTGCGACTGAAGTTGCCACACTTTTTTGTGAAAATTCTATTGTGAGGTAGCTGCGTATGGGTGTTTTGATCTTGAATAATCTTAAGCGAACACCAATTCCAGCCCACTCAAACATGTCCGGTGTTGTTGTCATTTAAAACGAGTGGTGAGCTCAGGTCAGGTCTATTATTTTCGATGTTTGTTGCTTGGCAGCTTTTTATGAATGAGAGTTCGAATGACGAAGTGCGGCTATACTAAATGTGGGTTTATACTACGGTGAGGCACTGAGTAACGTCATTCATGCGCGCTGTTGTCACACTGAGACCGACAAACCCACTAACTGCGCACGCCACTTACCGACTTGCCGATTCATTTGCTCATGTTGGTCGCAATCGCTTCCTCTTTCGATGTGTGGGTGATATCAGCCAGTCTTTGTTTATTCACTAAATCAAGAAACCCTGCAAGCATTTGGATGTGAGTTTCTAACTCCATCGTCTAATATTACACTACTTTGTCGCTTCCTGCTTGTGAAACGTCGATAGTTGGTCGATTTGCAATAACAATTCTATTGTCCCACTACAGTCATCTAATTTTCATCTCCAAAAGTAACTTCTTTGGCACTTCCCGTAGATTAAAGAATGATTGTTTTGTTCTACTCCCAAAACGGAGAACAAAATTGAACGAGTTCGTTTTATCGGAGATCGGCATTGAGCACGGGTACGCAAGTGAAAATCATATTAAATGGAAAAAATATATTAAATTTATTTCGTGAAAAATAATTGTGTCTTTTTATCAGTATTTTTTTAGTATGTATTCAAATAATTTATAATAAATAAAAAGTAAAATACAAAAATAAAAAATATAATTTTTGTTTAGAGTTATAGCATATTTTTATTTGGTGAAAAAATAAAATTAATTTTTTTGTTAATAACTTAGTTTTATTTAGGTTTTTTGTGTGCGTTTTACCAATTGTTTAATTACGATTATTTATTTGAAATAATATTAATAAATTTTATTCCAATAATAATTTTATTTTAAAGAGTTTTTAAAGCTCTTTTTTTACTTTCTGATGGCATTGCATATCGCATACAAATCAATAAAGTCACAAACAGGCGATGAAAACTCTCGCCATCGATCTCGACTCTTTCACCAAAAAGATAAACCGTTCGGGAATAAATGAACCACGCTCTCGTTACTTCTTTAAGTCACTAAAAAGTCAATGATAGGAAGTAACAAGTGCGTGGTTCATTTCTTCCCGAACGGTTTAACTTTTTGGATAAAGATTCGAGATCGCCGGCGAGGGTTTTCATCGTCTGTTGGTGACTTTTTAGTTATGTCAGCGACAAAAAATGCTTGCTGGGAATAATAACGTATGCATGTACGAGTGTGTGGCTGGGAACAAGGTTTATTGCCGGAGCTGGCGAGAGTTGTTGAGATGAGAAAAGAACTTCTGTTTGCCTAATTAAGAGACCTGCCTAAAAGGATGTCCAGTAGAACAACAAATCAGTCAAAATAGTGCCTAGGGGGGGAGGGGTAATGGGCAAAAAGGTTTCATGTCCTACACCACGACGTAGAAAGTGAAAAGACGGTTTGCTGTGGTCTACAGCTTTGACATATCGAGGTAATCGTGATCGAATCTTATTTTGTCAATGAATACATTGCAGGGATTCTTCGCATTAATGTACATTTGAAATCGACTGAGACATCTACATACACCTAGGCCAAGCCCAAGAATTGGACAACTCTGTAAATAAAATTGTTTGCCAAAAAATACCAAAACTACTGAAGATTCAATCATCGAAATGAAAGCCAAATTGGATAAATTCATATCCGTTTGTGGAAATTGCATTTGAAGCATGTCTGGCCCCAGTAGTTTATTGACACCTTGAACAATTGATCTCCAGGCCCATTGTATTACTAGTGACCATCATATGTCGACGCGTTGAGACGATCACATCGATCGATCGATCGATTTGGTCCGACTTTTTATGTTAATTTGTATGTCCTCTACAGATCGCGTTTATGGGTTTACACTGGATATGAACATATTCCATTTACGATCATCTTTACAACTCCTCAAAGCACAAAACAACTGATTTTATTCTGCCGATGGTACTGGGTGATTTTTAAGGTGTTCGGTTGCTCGTTTACTGGACTTTTAGGTTACCGACATTTTTTAATGTGCAAATTATTTCTCTGTTCCTTCCGGATATCAGCGTCATTGTAAATGTCAGAAGTGTCCTTTTCGTGTATTTTGACGGAAACTGAAGGAAGGCTCTGGAATGTTTATATCGATAAGTAACAAACGGAATGACAAACTTAATGTATCCTTCATAATACGTAGGGGGTACGTGGAGGGTATACTAATATGATGTTTGGAGCAATTAACGGCTACATTTGTAAGAACTTAACCTTTGTTAAACATTTGCCCTTGCTTTCATTTGGTTGGCTGAAGATATGAACCTCGTGTATACGGGTAATGCGGCCGTATTAGGCATTAGGACGATATTTGGAAAATCTTTCTTTTGAAATCTGTATTTGATTTGACAATTTTTTTCCTTTAGCTTGGGAAATGTTCACCAACTGTCCGATTCTGCCGTTAATAAGTTACATCGATATTTAATTATTACACCCTCCACCATAGTATGGAGGTCATATTAAGTTTGTCATTACGTATGCAATACTTCGAAGTGTGCATTGTAGACCCCACAAAGCATACAATTCTATGTTGATTTAGCTATGTCCGTCGATCTGCCTATCTGTCCGTTACAATTTCATACCGAATATGCTGTAAATTGAGAGTGTGTAGGTAACATCCTAGCAGAGAAATCTTCTTATATATGGGTCCATGTTTTGGTATAAAACCCAAATATCTGTAACTTCAGATATTCGGTAGTTTGATCATTTATGTCACACTTTTCACCGGAATTGTTTGAAATTTGGTAT